CAGCCCCGTCCCTCCCCTACCCAAACAAAGTGCCAGGGGTATGGGTAGGAGTGGAGAGGGTCTGGGAGCCAGCACCTGGGAGTTGGCCGCCTTAGCCCCTCAGTTTCCCAGTTTTTCTTTTTCTTTCTTCTATTGAGACAGGGTCTTGCTCTGTTGCCCAGCCTGGAGTGCATGTTTGCCAAATGGCTGTTCTGAGCCTGGCACGGAGCCTAATGAGCAAAACTGAAGATGAGCAAAAACAGGCCTCATCCCGGCCTACACAGGGCCTCCCCAGGCTCAGGTGATCCCCCAATCTCAACATCCTGAGTAGCTGGGACTACCAGCCTGCACCCCCACACCTGGCTAATGTTTGTATTTTCTGTAGAGATGGGGTTTTGCCATGCTGTCCAGGCTGGTCTCAAAGCCCTGGGCTCAAGTGGTCCGCCCGCCTCGGCCCCCTGAAGTGCTGAGATTACAGGGGTGAGCCACTGTGCCCAGCTCTCTCCCTTTTTTCAAGTGTAGGGGTCAGCATTTCTGCTGGGTGGTTTCCTCTCTTATGCCAGCAGGATTGCTCCTGGCAGTGGTGGGGTCTAAGGGCAGGCAGAGAGGGCTGGGCTGGCCTGAGGTGACAAAGTCTCTGCTGCACTACAATAGACAATGGGGGGTGGGGCATGGACACTCATTCAACAAAGCAGCACTGGGGAATGAGTGATGCACAGGACACATTTAGTCCCTGCCTAAGACTCAGAGTCAGCTGGGCATGGTGGCTCACACCTGTAATCCTAGCATTTTGGGAGGCCAAGGTGGGTGGATCACCTGAGGTCAGGAATTCAAAACCAGCCTGGCCATCATGGTGAAACCCCATCTTTATGAAAAAAAAAAAAAAAAAAAAAATGACTCAGAGTCTAAGGGAGGAGGGGGAATGACGGGGGGAAGAGATTAGATGGCAAGGGTCTAAATTACGGACCATCCCCATCTCCTCCTCCCAGCCTGCAGCCCCAACAACTCTCCCCGCTCAGGCCTAGATTCTGGGGCAGGGTGAAGGCTGCCCCAGAAGCAGGAGATCTGCACCCCCACACTGGCCAGTCTCTCCGGGAAGTTTAGTGTACAGTTTACTCATTCATTCCACATGTTTGCCGAACTGCTGCTCTGAGCCTGGCACTGAGCCTAATGAGCAAAACTGAAGATGAGCAAAAACAGGCCTCGTCCCGGCCTACACAGGGCAAGATGACAATCTCATCGGGAAGAGGGACAGGGCTCAGATGGTCACAGACATAGGCCAACAAGACAGCTTCGGGCAGTAAAGCTAGAAAGCACAAAAGGAGGAAAAAGGGAAGGCCTCCTGAGGAAGGGAGGGTTTGATCTGTGACCCCACGGGGGAGACCTCAGCCAGTGCTGGGGGTGGGGGGGAGGGGTCAAGCCGGCATGGGAGGGAGAGGGGTTCGGGAGAAAGCCCTCAAAGGCCAGTGGCTGGGGGAGGATGAGGAGGCAGAGCCACGTTGCCATAAAGGGCAGGGGCCCTGGAGGCCCCAGAAGAAAAGCCCCGAACCTGGGTGAAAGGCGTTCAGTAGAAGGGGCCATGATCTGCCACGGGTGAGGGAGACAGGACCCACATGGGAGGGCCCAGAGTGGAGGCAATCTCACCAAGATTTGTTAGAGGATCCATCTAGTCATATCTATATCTATATATATCTACCTATAATATAAATATCCATCTAGTTATATCTATATCTATCTATAATATAGATATCCATCTAGTTATATATCTATCTATAATATAGATATCCATCTAGTTATATCTATATCTATAACATAGATATCCATCTAGTTATATCTATATCTATAATATAGATATCCATCTAGTTATATCTATATCTATCTATAATATAGATATCCATCTAGTTATATATCTATCTATAATATAGATATCCATCTAGTTATATCTATATCTATAACATAGATATCCATCTAGTTATATCTATATCTATAATATAGATATCCATCTAGTTATATCTATATCTATCTATAATATAGATATCCATCTAGTTATATCTATATCTATCTATAATATAGATATCCATCTAGTTATATCTATATCTATAATATAGATATCCATCTAGTTATATCTATATCTATCTATAATATAGATATCCATCTAGTTATATCTATATCTATCTATAATATAGATATCCATCTAGTTATATCTATATCTATCTATAATATAGATATCCATCTAGTTATATCTATATCTATCTATAATATAGATATCCATCTAGTTATATCTATATCTATCTATAATATAGATATCCATCTAGTTATATCTATATCTATCTATAATATAGATATCCATCTAGTTATATCTATATCTATCTATAATATAGATATCCATCTAGTTATATCTATATCTATAACATAGATATCCATCTAGTTATATCTATATCTATAATATAGATATCCATCTAGTTATATATCTATAATATAGATATCCATCTAGTTATATCTATATCTCTATATATCTATAATATAGATATCCATCTAGTTATATATCTATAATATAGATATCCATCTAGTTATATCTATATCTCTATATATCTATAATATAGATATCCATCTAGTTATATCTATATCTATCTATAATATAGATATCCATCTCATTATATCTCTATATATCTATAATATAGCCATCTAGTTATATCTATATCTATAATATAGATATACATCTCATTATATCTCTATATATCTATAATATAGATAGCCATCTAGTTATATCTATATCTATCTATAATATAGATATCCATCTCATTATATCTATATATATCTATAATATAGACATCCATCTAGTTATATCTATATCTATCTATAATATAGACATCCATCTAGTTATATCTATATCTATCTATAATATAGATATCCATCTAGTTATATATCTATAATATAGATATCCATCTTGTTATATCTATATCCATAATATAGATATCCATCTAGTTACATCTATATCTCTATATATCTATAATATAGATATCCATCTAGTTATATCTATATCTCTATCTATGTATAATATAGATATCCATCTAGTTATATCTATATCTATCTATAATATAGATATCCATCTAGTTATATCTATATATATATCTATAATATAGATATCCATCTAGTTATATCTATATCTATCTATAATATAGATATCCATCTAGTTATATAATATAGATATCCATCTTGTTATATCTATATCTATAATATAGATATCCATCTAGTTATATCTATATCTCTATATATCTATAATATAGATATCCATCTAGTTATATCTATATCTATCTATAATATAGATAACCATCTAGTTATATCTATATCTATCTATAATATAGATATCCATCTAGTTATATCTATCTATCTATAATATAGATATCCATCTAGTTATATCTATATCTATCTATAATATAGATATCCATCTAGTTATATATCTATAATATAGATATCCATCTAGTTATATCTATCTATCTATAATATAGATATCCATCTAGTTATATCTATATCTCTATATATCTATAATATAGATATCCATCTAGTTATATCTATATCTATCTATAATATAGATATCCATCTAGTTATATCTATATATATCTATCTATAATATAGATATCCATCTAGTTATATCTATATAGAGGACCCATCTGGTTAAATAGAGATAACTATATAACTATATCCATCCTGTTATATCTATATAACTAGATGGATCCTCTATATTGATATAACTAGATGGATATAGAGGCTTAATCATCAATCCTGTCAGATGCTATCTTAAGCACAGGAAAAGGCACACCTAGAATCATTGAACTTATTTATTTATTTATTTTGAGACGGAGTCTCACTCTCAGGCTGGAGTGCAATGGCATGATCTCAGCTCACTGCAACCTCCACCTCCCGAGTTCAAGCAATTCTCTTGTCTTAGCCTCTCAAGTAGCTGGGACTATAGGTGCCCTCCACCACGCCCAGATAATTTTTTGTACTTTACTAGAGACAGGGTTTCACCATGTTGGCCAGGCTGGTCTCAAACTCCTGACCACGTGGATCCCTCCCAAAGTGCTGGGATTACAGGCGTGGCGAGCCACCAAGCGGGACTTATCTTTTCTAACAATGCGGTGATTCAGGCAAGAGCCCCAGGAGCCTGTGCTCTGCCCTGCCTGGCGTCTTCAAGGTGTCCTTCCACTGGGCTGCCCCCAGTCACTGAGTCAGGGGCTTTGTCAGCTTCTGACAAGCAGAAAGAGCAAGTGTGGTTTCTTAGGGTTGCAACTCGGTCTCACGATGGCTTAGACCACAGCTGGAGCAATGGGCAGAGTCATAAAAGAAATTTTCCAGTTAGCATTTCTAGAGTAAAATGGATTAGATGCAGGGCTGAGGGCAGGGGAGGAAGCCTGGGTAATGGAAGGCTGGGGGGCCAATGGGGCACTGGGAACCCTCGAGGGCTGGGTCTGGGGGAGGGTTGGGGGTCATGAATTTGGACTTGGATGCTTGTTGAAGTCGATGCAGCTTGGGGACATTTGTGGGACACACAGCCTGGGTCAGGGCTGAAAGAAGTGATGGTTGGCCGGGCGCGGTGGCTCAAGCCTGTAATCCCAGCACTTTGGGAGGCTGAGGCGGGTGGATCACGAGGTCAAGAGATCGAGACCATCCTGGTCAACATGGTGAAACCCCATCTCTACTAAAAATACAAAAAATTAGCTGGGCATGGTGGCGCATGCCTGTAATCCCAGCTACTCAGGAGGCTGAGGCAGGAGAATTGCCTGAACCCAGGAGGCGGAGGTTGCAGTGAGCCGAGATTGCGCCATTACACTCCAGCCTGGGTAACAAGAGCAAAACTGTCTCACCTGCAGTCCTTATGGCCAGGGGCAGAATTCATGCCTGTAATTCCAGCAACTCAGGAGGATGAGACAGGAGGAGCGCTTGAGGCCAAAACTTTGAGGCCAGAAGTTAAAGACCAGCCTGGGCAACACAGCAAGACCCTGTCTCTAAAAAGAGAAGAAATGCTGGTTGTGGAAGCCAGCCATGACCAAGAGCTCAGCAGTTCGGAGGGGTGCTGGCCTGGGAGACACGGGAGGCTCAGCTGGAGAGACAGAAGGAAAACCAGGGCCAGAGGGTGTCCCAGAAGCTGGGAGAAGGCAGAGAGGCTTACTTTTTGGCTGAGGGGCCTAGGGTGATTCACTTTGGGAGGCTTGGTTTTTTCCTCTGTGAAATGGGCCACACAGCCACCCTTGCCCACCTCACCCACTTCGTCCAGTTGACGTCGAGCAAGGAGCAGCTGTGAGGAGGAAGCTTTGCACGAATGTGAGGACGGCTTCAGGCACCAGCCCCTGGGACACCCCCAGAGGAGATGGAACCCCGAGGGCACGGCGTGGCGGCCTGGGCGGGCCGCTCGCGTTAGGACCCAGCGGCTTCGGGGCTGGAGGGCGGGCGCCAGCCCCGTCGGGGGCCCGGAGGGGGACTCGATGCGGGCCAAGGGGCGGCTCCGGCGAGCGGACTCGGAGTGGGCGACGGAGTGACCCGGCCAGGTAGGCTCGGGGCTGGCGCTCGGGGGACCTGGGGCGCGGGCAGGGGCGTCGGCGGGTCACCCGGCGCGGGAGACGGGGGGCGCCAGCCTCTCCAGGTCTCCGATCCTGGGGCGGCCGCGGAGGTCCCTGAACCCAGCGTCTTCAGAGCGGACGCCGAGGGGCACCTGGAAAGTTTGTGGTTGTTCTGCGCGGAGATCGCGAGTTGGGAGGACCTCGAGTTTGGGGGGAGCCAGAGGTGGGGGCGTCAGAGGATGGGACATCTTTTGTTCTCCCGGGGAGGTTGGAATGTGGCGGGTTGTGGGGGTGACCGGCGGGAGCGGCCGGGACAGAGACGCAGAGAGACAAAGAGATCAGAGACGGGAGCGCGAGGGCGCGCGGAGCAAGTTTCCGCGGCTGATTGTTCCCAGCTGTGTGGCGAGGCAACCTCTGGGTTCCTCCCGCCGGGACCCCTCCCCCCAGCCCGGCTCTGGAGCCGGCCGAGCCCTCCCTCCGTCTGAGGTGTGAGCGAGCGTCGGGGGCCTCCTACCCCACTCCTCCCAGGACGCAGGGGAGTCGGGGGTGGGGGAGGCCGCAGCTGTGAAAGAGGCCAGACCTGGGGGTGGGGCAGCCTCCCGGGCAGGTCCGGGCCTCGCTCATGCCCCCAAACCCCTCCGTCTAGAAGTTCTTGCAGATGTGGTCCCCGGGGGGAGCCCATTAACGCCACACTGACTTCCCTCTTTCCTGCCTCCCCGCTAGCCCTTGGGCCTCCTTCCCCCTGTAAGCCTGGGTTTGGGGACCAGTCTTGGGGAAGGAAGACCAAGCAGGGCACCGACAGACACCCCCCAACACCTTGCAGCCCCTCATGCCTCAATTCAGCGCCTTCTGCTGAGCAGAGGGGCTCCCACTGGCCGGACCGATGGGGAGAGGAGCAGGGAATGCTCTCTGGGTCTCTTCATCCCTGTCCCGTGAGGAGGTCAAGGGTCTTCAGAATGGGGTGTGGGGAGCCAGCTATCCCTTGCCTCTGGGGCATCTTGGTCCTGAGTCTCTCTCCCCACTCCCACCCAGTCTCAGTAAGGTGCCCAATGCATGAGAGGGCCAGGGGCTCAGGGAGGCCTCAGGATTGGGAGAAAGGAGGGAAAGACCCCCATGTTTTCTCCTGTTTCCCTCCCCTCCCCCTGGATTCCCAGTGCGGAAATACAGCAAAGCTCGGGTCCAGCTTGCTGTCTGGGAGGACTTCCTGGGTTGCAGCCGGGAGGGGCCCTCCTAGATAGACTGCACCCTCATAGCCCTCCCAACAGAAGGCTGACCTGAGGTGGCCCTCCACTGAGCTGAGGCTGGATGTGGGGAACCTGAGGCTCCCTCAAGTCCCACTGTGTAGCCAGGCCTGGAGACTGGACCTTGAATGTCAGGAGCCTGCTGAAAGCCAGGGACCAGTGCCCTCTCCTTCCAAATGACACACACCACACTTATCGGTCAATGTCGGGGGTGCAGGGCGCCCTGGGCTGGGTGACGTCACCACCCCTTCAGTGCTGCCATTCTAAGATCCAGAGGAGTCCCCTCAGGCTTCGCTCTAAGTGCTTCCTGCTGCTGCAAACAGCCCCGGTGGGTCGTGAGCCTGTGATGAACACAGCCAGGTCTTATGAGGCCTGGAGGCCTGGCAGGAGAGGCATCTAGGGGCTGGGAGACCTGTCCGGCCTGGGCTCTGGAGGCCCGAGTGCATGAGGCTTCCTGCTGAGCAGGACGCTGGGGGCGGGGTGGGAGGGCCCAGGGGCTAATTGGGAGCAGGTGGTGAGGTGGTGGGCTTGGCAGAAGCTGCTGAGTCCAGGCTGTGATGCCGGTTGGCCAGGGCTGGGATCCCAGGGGTGGGCCTGGGTTCAGGGATTCATGCAGTCAGTGACTCGGACACTCGGACACTCGGGGAGGCTCTGGGCCAGAGGGTTGAGCATGGGTGCGGGTGAGGAGAGAATGTTCTGGACTGGGGTCACATTAGAAATATCCCCTTAGTGACAGGGTCAGCCATCGCCTGACCACGTGCAGTACACCCACTACAGGGGTTTGCTGGTCAAGATCAGCGCTGGAGTGGGGCTGGAGGCCTTGTCCCTTGTGACCTGAACACCTGGGTGGGCCAGCAGGAACTTGGATGGCCCTCTGAAGTAGGGACATCCCAGCCCTCCCACTCCTGGCTTCTATTCTGGGTGTCACCTTCTCTGGGGCGAAATCAGGGGATCCAAGGTGGGCTCTGCTGTCCTGAGTGTGGGTGGCCCTGGGCAGAGCACTCCCTCTCGTTTTCCCCCAGCTGTCCTCTCTGACACCCCCCAGCCTGCCTCTCTGTGGCCATGAAAGCTGCCTACCTCTTCCTGCTATTCCTGCCTGGTAAGTGCTCCCCGGACAGGGGGTAGCTCCCCTTATGTTTGCAGGGAGTGGGGTTAATAGGCGGAATTCACAGTGAGTCTTTATCATGACTCATGGCCAGAACTCAGCTCCCCAGATCCTGGGGCCTCCAGCCTGCCTGGACCACAGACTGGACAGGCCAGCCCTGGCAGCCTCTGCAGGCAGCTCCCGGCCCTTCCCCCAGCCTTCCACAGCAGCAGGCAGGCAGGGTTCTGGAGGGCACATCCCTGGCATAAGGACTGGGCACAAGGCCCCTCTGGGAGCCAATGTGCAGGTATAGGGGGCACTCAAGGCAGAGGTTCCAGATGCTTGGGTTCTAGATCCATTTGGAGCCCTTCAGCTCTAGACAGTCTTGACCTTGAAGGGGTCTACTGGCCAAATGAGGAGACTCGATGAGGACCACAAAGGTCCTAGCATGGCCAACATTAATTCATTCAGCCGTGATGTGTTGAGTCCCTACCATGTGCCAAGTGCTGGGCTAGACCCTGGGGGTTCCACAGTGAACCAGGGAGACACATCATTGCTCTCATCATGCTGCCAGTCCAGGGAAGAGAGACAAATAGGAAACAAGCAGACGTGAGAAACTCCAGCATGTGCTGCACGCTGGACAGAAATCAGCAGGAGGGCGGTGGGCTCGGGGTGGGTCAGCCTTTCCGCACAACTGAGATTCCAGGGAACACCTGAAGCAGCTGAGCAGGACTCACAGGCTCAGGGAGCTTCAGGTGTAAAGGCCCTGAGGCAGGCAGGAGCATGTGGAGTCCCAGGAGCAGCCAGGAGGCCGGTGACAGGGTGGGGCAGGGTAAGGTCAGGGAGGTGACCAACAAGGGTGGGGAAGGGTCTTTACCTTTGAGGAAGAGTCTGGATCCTCTAGGAACCTGCTTTTGGGGTCCTAGGCTCTTATAGGCCTGCTCTTGTGACCCCCACCTCCCCTCCCCAGAAGCGCCTCAGGCCCCTGTTGCTCCTCCCCTCGGGCACCCCACATGCTTTGCCTCCCCACAGCAGGCCCGCTGGTTCAGGGCCAGTATGACCTGGACCCGCCGCCGCCATTCCCTGACCACGTCCAGTACACCCACTACGGCGACCAGATCGGTAAGGGCCTTCCATCCCCAGGGTCGCCAAGGAAGGCCTGGCTGCTCAGATGTGCATGGCTCAGCCAGGAACCGCACTGGACAGCTCATGGGAGCTCTGGGGTTGGGTCCCTGGCTCAGCGAGGACCTTGTTTGCCCCTGGGGCTGGTGGGTTGCCTGACTCCCACCAATTCCACTTTCATCTTTGTTTGCAGACAACCCAGACTACTATGATTATCAAGGTAATGGGCTGGGGACAGGATAGGATGGGCTAGCAGCTGGGTGGGGAGAGCCCCGGGAGCGGGTGGAGGGAGCAGACCCCCTTATCCTCCCCTGGCTGCAGAGGTGACTTCTCGACCTTCGGAGGAACAGTTTCAGTTCCAGTCCCAACAGCAAGTCCAACAGGAAGTCATAGCAGCCCCAACCCCAGGTAGGCCCCAGCCCCTGCCCCACCCTCCTTACCCTGTGAACCCTGGGAGTGAGGGGGTCTGCCAGGGCTAGGGGAGGTGATTCCCCTGCCCAATGATATCTGCCTGCCTTTCTCTCGACCGACATCAGAACCAGGAAATGCAGAGCTGGAGCCCACGGAGCCTGGGCCTCTGGGTAAGGGCTTTCCTGCCAGTGGGAGAAATGGAGGCATGGCCTGACCATTTGGGGTGGAGTAGGGGGCAGTGCTGATGGGCTGGAGGCCTTTTGTTCTTGCCTGTGTGGGCTGCTGGCAGTGATGAGGGGAGGGAAAGCTTGCTCCTGCTGTAGGCTGGCACCACCAGGCCCCCCCATGCAGCTCCAGGAGGTCCCACTCTGCCCCAGTGGGCCTGGCCGGAGGCTAAATTGGCAGCCTAGGAAGGGCCCTGTCCTCACAGATACTGGGAGGGGCAGGGAGTGTGCTGGGGGCTTCCTGTCAGCCAGAGAGCCTGCCTGGGTAGTGCATATGTGGAGGCAAGGAAGGGCCAGGGAGTGTGGGCTGGCTGAGCAGTGCCCCTCCAGCTGCCCCAGCTGAGAGCTTCAAAGAACAAGACGAGTGTGTGCAGGAGAATCCGGGTGCCCACCCTCATATGGGTTGGTGTGTGCATTCTTATGTGGGCTTCTGTGAGCGTGGGTAGATCTGCTTGTGAGTCGGTGTGGGCTTTTATGATGCGTGGGTGGGTGTGAACTTGTTTGAACTTCGACTTCTATAGTAAGTTCAGTGGTGAGTTGATAAATGAGTTACAGCCTGGTAAAGTCTAGCAATGCTGTGTGTGTCTATGTGGGCATGTGGAGGTATGGGTGTCTGCATGGGATGTAAGGGTACATGGGGACTAGGCCCTGCGAGCCAGTCTCAGGTGGGTAAGGTTGGGTGCCGCCCCCCAACTCTGGACTCCTAGTCTGACCCCACCTGTCACCCAGACTGCCGTGAGGAGCAGTATCCATGTACCCGCCTCTACTCCATACACAAGCCTTGCAAGCAGTGTCTGAACGAGGTCTGCTTCTACAGGTGAGCACAGGTGGGCGGCTGCTGGGAGGACTCTGGAGCATGGGGGCCAGAGGGCACAGGGGGTGGCTCTGGCCAGCCCGGGTGGGAGTTGGAGGAAGAGTGAGTCCTGAAATTGAGCTCAATTCTGTGGTTGAGCCTGGGCCAGGGACCTCCCCTCCTGGGCTCCATGGCCGGGTTCTGTCTGGGCTATCCCAGTGGGGCTGAGACCTCCTGGGCCCTGTCCCCACAGCCTCCGCCGCGTGTACGTCATCAATAAGGAGATCTGTGTCCGCACAGTGTGTGCCCATGAGGAGCTCCTCCGAGGTAGGAAGGCTTTCTCCCCAAGGTCTCCCCTGCCCCCACACCAGCTTCATTATCTGGCCACCTAGCCACCCACCTGATGTTTATTCAACACGTATTATGCGTCAGACACACTTCCAGGACACCCTGAACGCCCCTCCTTGCTACTTTTCATCCTCAAAACACTCCCATCACCAGAGTCAGGGAGGGACAGGGGTTCCCATCGCCCAGCCCCACCCTGACCCCACCTCCTTCCTGCCCTCAATAGCTGACCTCTGTCGGGACAAGTTCTCCAAATGTGGCGTGATGGCCAGCAGCGGCCTGTGTCCATCCGTGGCGGCCTCCTGTGCCAGGAGCTGTGGGGGCTGCTAGGGTGGTGCTGGCATCCTGAGTCCTGGCCCTCCTGGGATCCGGGGCCCTCGGGCCCTGCCTGACCTGGCCCTCCTGGGACCCGGGGCCCTCGGGCCCTGCCCAACCTGGTGCTTTCTTCCCCATCCCCATGTTCGTTTCATTCTGTAAAGTTAGTGGACTGCAGCCCTGGGGGTTGCAGGCTGTGGTGCAGGCTCCTCCTTCAGCCTCTGGCCACCTCTGGGGCACAATGGGGGCTCCCCACTGCCCAGTCTCTGCCCCTCGGGTTGGGGGGCATCCCAGGCCTCTCCATGGGACCTGGGCCCCTGACAGGCCTCAGCCCATCTTGATGACAGACAGTCCCCTATTCAGTCCCCCGAGGTAGGCTGGGTCCCAGCACCCCAGCTGGTCTGCTTGGATTTCCTACAGCCCCCCTGGGCATGGACCACCTTTATTTTATACAAAATTAAAAACAAGTTTTTACAAAAGACTGAGTCACTTTTTGGGGGAGCGCACAGAGGGGCCAGCCAAGTGCCCCCAACATGGACTGTCCTGAGAGGCTTCCACAGTCCCAGCCCCACCTCCTCACCCGCTGGCTCCCGCTCTGCCCTGCCCAGAAAGATGCATCCTGATGGTGCAGGCGTGCACTCGTGTTGCAGGAATTACACAGGAGATGGAAGGTTCCAGGGATACAGCTTTCTCATGACCAGGGCTACTTGGTGAGGACATGAGTTCCCATCACCAGAGAGACACAGTGAAGATGGGAGGTTACCCCTGGAGGGTGGGGGGCAGGGGCTCAAGGCAGGCCCACTGACATTCAAGGCCTTTGTTTGGGAAGCTGGAAAGACTAGTGTCGTTCAAAGGGCAAAAACAGTGGGGTGGAGTGGCTCACACCTGTAATCTCAGCACTTAGGGAGGCCGAGGCAGGCAGATCACTTGAGGCCAGGAGTTCGAGACCAGCCTGGCCAACATGGTGAAACCTTGTCCAAGATCGTGCCACTACACTCCAGCCTGGATGACAGAGCAAGACTCTGTCTCAAAAAAAAAAAAGAACCAAGGGCAAAAAGGAGGAAGCCATTTTAATACTTCCTTCTGATCTGCACGTGGGGCCTCGGCTCTGCATGAAGGCTCAAACTCCTGTCTAACCCTCCAAATAGGCATCTGTAGTGGATACAATTTGTATCCCCATCTTAGATACAGGAAAACTAGGCCCAGAGACATTAAGTAACCCACCCACAGGCCCACAGCTATCAGTGGTAGTGCTGCGGCCGAAGCAGGCAGCTGGGACTCCAGCAGACGGAGTGTTAATTTCTCCTTTGGACACTGAGCACCTCCTATGTGAACACTCCCATTTTACAGATGAGCAAACTGAGGCTCTTTCAGCAGCTTTGCTCAGGATGACTCAGCAGCGCCAGGATAAGACCCCATGTCCACACCCAAACCTGCACTTTTTGCCATGCTGTGTAGAAGGCTTGTCACCGTCCCGAGGGTGGGCTTGAATCTGTGGCATGGCCAGAGAAAGGGGCAAGAAAGTATGGGCTGGAGGCCAGGCTCAGTGGCTCACGCCTGTAATCCCAGCACTTTGGGAGGCCAAGGCAGGTGGATCACCTGAGGTCGGGAGTTCGAGATCAGCCTGGCCAACATGAAGAAACCCCATCTCTAGTAGAAAATACAAAATTAGCCGGGCGTGGTGGTGTGTGCCTGTCATCCCAGCTACTCAGGAGGCTGAGGCAGGAGAATCACTTGAACCTGGGAGACAGAGGTTGTGGTGAGTCGAGATCGCACCATTGCACTTCAGCCTGGGCAACAAGAGCGAAACTCCATTTCAAAAAAAAAATAAAGTATCGGCTGGAAAGAGGCTGGGTCCAGCCCCCAGCCTCAACAGCCCTGTCTGTTCTATGGATCAGGTGACTGAGGACCCCGGAGGCCTCCCCATCTGACATCCTGTGAGGCTGGCAAGTTCCCTTCCCAACATAGGCCCCCTGCCTCTCCCTGCTGTCTCCCCAAGCACCCCTCCCTAGAGGGCACCATCCCTCTTGCCCCAGACCCCACCTGTCTCCCCCAACATCTCCTGTTGTCTAGAAAAGGGACACATCTGTATAAACTTTTTAGAAAACGAAGTCTTGTTACAAAAAACAGTTCTGAACAGTTAACATTGTAAAAGTATAAAAATACAGGGACTCTGAGCACTCTGAGGAATCTCCTGACACACACGCTGAACTAAGGTGGAGAGATCTCTGGGAAGCTGGAGTCAGGGCCTGGGCCTGGTTCCCCTCCTTTCCCACAAGCCCGTGCTCCAGGGCTGACCAGAGAAAAGGGCTCTCCCCAACCCTGGCTATGGCTCAGCCTCTAAAAGAGGATCTTGTAAGATCTGCAGTGGCCTGTCCTGGAAGAGGGGGCTGGAATGAGTGGGCCCTGCTGGATGCTGGGAAGCCTCCAGGCCTGGAGCTGGAATACTCCTCCTCAGCCCTGACAGTGGAACACCTTCTTATCCCACCCCAGCTGGGGGCCCCCAAGGGACCAGGCTTTGGGGGTGCTTTCCAAAAGGAGGGCCCTCCCCTGACACGGGCACAGGGCTGTTCTCTAGATGCCAGCAGAGGCTCATTTCTCTGGGGAGCCAGAGGGTGGGGAGAAGGGTGCTGAGCTCCTTCGAAGCTCCTGCTGCAGTGTGGACACCTGGGGAAGGAGAAGGTTAGGCCAGCCAGGTCCTCAGCCTGGCTTCAGGAAAAGGGAGGCAGCTGGGGACCCGGAGGGACCCAGTGCCAGTTTCAGGAAAGGTCTGGCCTCACTGAAAGCCAGGGGCTATCCTGCCTTTCTCATTTTGTTTTCCTTACAGCAGAGTCAGGTGTCTTTGGGGGAGAACTCCACACCCATTCTTTATCCCCATCATCACTTGAGTAGGCGTGGCTCTAGCCCAGACCCAAGGGGTGGACATGTAACCTAGCCTGGCCTGGCAGAGCAGCATTGCCTGGCAGACAAGGCTGGCTCAGGCATAGTCAGGAAGGGGCATGTGATCTGAGTGGGCCAGTGAGGGACAGGCCTGGGGCTTCTGCAGCCGCTCTCCTCTGGGATGACAGGTTGCTGGAAGAACCAGAGGCTGGAGCTGCTGAGGCCACTCGGCCTCCCAGGGAGAAGGCTGCCCTGATGGAGCTAGGGGAGCAGAGCCCAGCAGGAAGGCCTGGGGCTCGGGAGCATCCCGTGGCCACTGGTCTGGTCTTGGGTGATACCAGCGCAGAGCCAATCACACTCTTTTTGGTTATGGGAGCCATCAACTGCTTATACCCACGAGGTCTTAACTGGCCCCCTCATCTTCCTCCAGCCCCACACATCCATCCTGGCCCAGCTTTCTGAGGGGGCCTGCTACCTGTTCCTCCAGCCCACGAACCCTCTGGCGGTGGGCCCGCTCTCGTGCCTCCAGGGTGCGCTCGGTCTGCGCCTGGGCACTGCGCAGGCGCTCCACCTCCTGCTGCAGCTCCCGCTGCTGCTGCTGTTCGTCCACCTCCAGCTGGGCTGGGCTGTGGCTCTGCTCCAGTGCCACCACCTGCGCCTGCAGGGAGGGGCTGCAGTCAGGGTTCCAGCCCAGCGTGAGTGTGTGTGTGCATCTGTTATAGGTTGTCAGGTGCCTCCCTGGGACACAGCCAGTGCAGAGGGAGAAGGCAGGAGAGATCCTTGTGTGTCCTCCATCCTGCCGGCCCTGACGGTGAGCCTGTGAGCCCAGGGTGAGTGCACTCAAAGACCCCCACTCAGGCAGGTATGTGCACTCATGCATGTGCGCGCATACACACACACACACACACACACACACGTCATACACACAGGCACAAAGGCAAGCATGTAAATACCTACTGGGTTCGCACAGGTGTATGTGTGTGCACAAAGGCCCAGCTCCCACATACATGAGAACATCTGTACACAGACCCATATTCACAATACCCGGACACACCACACCGTGTGCACGATTCATGCTCCATACACAAGAACGCTCACATGGATTCCCACTCTGCTGCATGTCCACAACATACATGAGCCCACAGGCTCACGTGCAAACAGGCCTTCAGTGTCTTCTGTACACCTTAGGGAGAACCCCTCCTTCCACCGCCTGGCTGGGTCACGCGGAAGGCTCAGGGCTCCCGGGGGAGGGGGTTGTGGGCTCTGGGCTGGGTGGGCTACCGGCTCCACCAGGATTGATGAGCACTCAGACCAGGGATGAAGCTGGGGTCCCAGGCTGGGTGGGGTCAGACCTCCAGCTGCTGGATCTGCCTCTGTGCCTCGGCCAGCTCCAGCTCAGCCCCTGTGAGAGTGCGGTCCAGGCGGCCCTTCTCTGCGCTCAGCCGCACTGTGTCTTCATGGCTGCGAAGCTTCTCCCGCTCCACCTAAGTGGTAGGGAGAGCAGAGATCAGGGTGCCAGGAGGCGCTTACCGAGGGGGCTCAGGGTCCTGAACCCCAGTGGAATAACCTAACCCCACCAGAGGCAGCAGACCCTGGGGATGTGCAGTGGACTCACCACGGCTAGGTCCCAGAGGAAGTGAGGGGAGAGCCTGGGGGAGCAGCCCACCTTGTCCAGCGTCCTCTTGAGGGCTACACGGTCCTTCTCCAGACGCAGGGCTGAGCGCTCCACCTCCCGCTTCTCGGCTTCCAGCTGAGCCAGGGCGTGCTGCAGGCTGCCCAGGCGCTCCTGCAGCAGCCGCCGCTCGTCCTGCAGCTTCTGGACCATGTGCAGGGCTGCAGCCTCGCCCTCCTGCCGCTGCCGCAGCACCTGAAACAGAAGCCAGGCAGGCCCCAAATCCCTCTGGGCCTGAGCATACTTTTCCGAAACTTGGAGAGAGTGAGGCTGGCCCGCTCACAGGGCAGCAACTGTGAGGCCCATATCAGAGAACTGTCACCCGAAGCCAGATGGTTCTCTCTCAGCCTCCGTCTCTCCATCTGTATAACAGGACTATGCGTTGAATGAACGATGCTTCCTTACCGGAGGCTGCGCCAGGGTTGGGGATGAGGTTGAGATGGGTGGGAGCATCCCCACCCTAGTCTAGGGCCTCACAGTCTTGGGGACAGAGCGGGTGCACCCTGGCCCTCACCTCCCGTAGCTGTTGTAGCTGGCCCTCGGCCTCCACCCGCTGCAGCTCCAGGTCAGCCACCTCGCCTCGCAACGTCTGCACCTGCTCACCCAGGGAGCTGCTCTGCTTCCGCGCCTCAGACAATGCCTGCCGGGCAGCGTCCAGCCGTTCCTGGGGGACAGGGGCTGATGGTACCAGGCTGGCCTGGGAGCCCCCAGGCGTCCCCTCTACTCTGCACTTCAGGCAGGTTCACAGCCCATGAAACAAGCAGTCATCTCACCTAGAGGGTGGGCCCCACGCCAGGCCCATCCCACGGCCTATCCACTGACCTGCGTAAGGTGGAAACCACTCAGACCCCAACTCTCCCCCAATAAACCATGCACCTGGGTCCACCCAAGTTCATACTAGTAGTCTTGTCTTTTTTTTTTTTTTTTTTGAGACAGAGTCTCACTCTGTTGCCCAGGCTGGAGTGCAATGACACGATCTTGGCTTACTGCAACCTCCGCCTCCGGGGTTCAAGTGATTCTCCTGCCTCAGCCTCTTGAGTAGCTGGGATTACAGGCGCCTACCACCACGACCAGCTAATTTTTGTATTTTTAGTAGAGATGGGGTTTCACCATGTTGTCCAGGCTGGTCTCAAACTCCTGACCTGAGGTTGATCCACCCGCCTCGGCCTCCCAAAGTGCTGGGATTACAGGCGTGAGCCACCACACCCAGCCAGTTTTGTCTTCTTATGGGACATACCTAGAGCCTCCTCTCATTGGCTGATGCTCTATTGGGCCCACTCCCCCTTCAAAGCCTCCTCTCATTGGCTCCAACTGACTGCCCCGTTGTCTGGCTCTTTACAGGTCCCCCCCGCCCAAGACTGCTCTTACTGGCTGACTCACTCACTGGGCCCACCTCAGCCAGACCCGGGGCCCCAGACCTGGAGCACTTGGCGGTCATGTTCACAGGCAGTCAAAGCCTTCTGTAGATGCAGGTTCTTGTCCTGGGTGCTGTTGAGGCTGGCGCTGCTCTGGGCCAGGGCCTCTGTCAGGCCCCGCACCTTGTCCCTCAGGGCCCCCTCGCTTTCCTCCACCTTGGCCAGGGCCCCATTCAGCCGCTCCACAGTCAGCTGCAGGGTCCCTGCTTTCACCTCGCTGTCCGCCACCTGGCAGAAGGACAGCCAGAACCATTAAGGGGCTGTTGCCATCTGGTCTCTACACCTCTGCCCCTACTGTGACGTCCACCTGGCATGCCCAATCCACGCCTTCCCACAGCTCCCTGGGCATCCATAATTGAGACCCAACTGTTCTAAGCACTCCCAGTAGCTCAGCCTATTGCAACCTGGGCACCTTCCACTGCTGGCTATTTGTGCCCAGAGTGCCATCAACCCAGTTGTCTCAGACTCCCTGGTCTCCTTCTTGTCCTCATTCCCCTCCCCTTTCTGCTGTGGAGGAGAAAGGGTAACTACCACAACCCTAACATTTTCTATTTTTGACTTTGGTGGGTGTTCAGGTAAGGCTAGCAGAATTACTGAACGTTCCAGTTACAGCTTAGCTTCCTAGCAGTTAAGGCAAAAAGGGAAACGAGTGAAACCCACATCTCTTAACTCATCCCAAAGGGCTCCTATGCATGCAGATTCAGTCATCAAATAGTCCTGAATTCGAATTTTGCCTATGCCTCTTACTAGCTACAGAATCTTAGACAATGACATTACCTCTCAGCCTCCATTTGTCCATCTGTAAAATCGGGATGTTGGTAATACTTGCCTCACGGGGTTGTGCAGTGTAGTGCCTACAAAGCTCTTGGCACAGGGCACACAGGTGCTGTGGCTGTGATTTGGGGAGGAGCTCACCTGTCTCTGCAGGGAGTCCACCCGATCCTGAAGAGCCTGGGCCTGGGCCTCACGGTCGCTCAGGCCCAGGCGGCTGCGCTGCAGCTCCCCCTCAAGCGAGCGCCGCTGCAGCTCCAGCTTGACGGTGCGGCTCTCAGAGGCGTCCAGGACCTCCTTCAGGCGCCGCTTGTCACCCTCCAGCTTTGTTTCATTGGCCTTCATCTTGCTGATCTTCTCCTGCAGGTCGTGCAGGGCTCAGGCCCAGACGTGCACCCGCACCCTTCCCGCACATGCCCTGGGCCCCTTAGAGGAAAGTGGGGAACAGCCTTGAAGGGTGACTGGTGTGACCCTGGGGCCAGCCTGGGACCCTCTGAGGGCCTTGGTCTCCCCATGTGTTCCCAGGATGAGTGGATGTGAAGATCCCTGAGACCACCTTCCAGTTTTAGCCCAGGCCAACAGGCTGTGGAACCCAGACTGCCCCTTTCCGCTCTCTGGCCCCATTTCCTATCTGTACAGTGGGTACACTGGATTGGTCCCAGGGAACCACAACATGGGTGCTCACAGGAGCCCTGAGGTGGGGGCAGTAGAAATGCAGATTCCAGGGCTCTTCTCCTGCCCCGCTGACTCCCGTGCAAACTGAGCCGAGCCTGGCAGTTCCGAGAGGCCCTGCTATTCTAGGGTTTCAGGTGATGATTCCTCCTCTCCTGCCCAGAGTCAGCCAGTGAAGACAGTCTGGGGAGTGGGGATGGGACAGGGAGGCAGACTAGGGGTCCTCCCATCCCTGGTACTATCCTAGAGACAGGGTAGGTCAACAGGGGGTGTTATTTGCCCTCCCCAGCCCCCATCCTGAGCCTGGCCCCTCTGCCATCCTGCCCAGAGCCCCAGCCCTGCCGTCTGGGGCCCCCACTCTGGCTCCTGCCCAGCTTTGTTCCTGGCCTCCTCCTGCAGCCCCTGTGCCTGGGCCCATGGCCAGAGCTGAAGCCACAGACACAACAATCCAGCTAAGCTCGGCCCCAGGCCAGAGGCTGGGGCGGCGGGGGTTGGGGGGGAGGTGTGGAGGAGGCAGTAATGTAAGGACAGGCTGGGGAGGGCAGAGGGGGACTTTGGCTGCAAGAAGGCTCTGCACTGTCACTACCAGGGCCTGAGCTTCCTGCCCCAGACAGACGGACACACACACCAGCACATACAGATGTCCCCCAAACACACATAAAAAACCCAGAATGCGCTCGTGTGGCCACACAGAGATATAAAACAGAGATCCCCTGCACACCACCTGTGGTAAGAGCCTGTGTGTATCCTCCCTGTGGACAATCACTGCTCCTCCTTTTACAGATGAGGAAAATGAAAACCAGGCAGATGACGACTCAAAGCCCAAGCTCTTTTTCTTTCTTTCTTCTTTATGGAGGCAGGGTCTCGCTGTCTGCCTTGCTAGAGTGCAGTGGCACCATCACAGCTCACTGCAGCTTCGACCTCCCAGACTCCAGCAATCTTCCCTTCAGCCTCCGAAGCAGGACTACAGGCCCATACCACCAAGGCCAGCTAATTTTTGTATTTTTCATAGAGATGGGGTTTCACCATGTTCCCCAGGCTGGTATCAAACTCCTGGGCTCAAGGGATCCACCCACCTTAGCCTCCAAAAGTGCCAGGATTACAGGTGTGAGCTAATGCACCCTGACTGAGCTCTTTTTTCTACAGCCTAGTGAGCACAAGTGACATGAGATGATGGAGCCTGAACATAGTTTCACAGAGTCGCAGGCTGGCCACCTCAGTGGCTTGCAGAGAGACTCAGGCAGACAGACACAGGGAGACACACGGTAGGAGTTGGACACCCACTCCTGGACACAGATTCCCCCTCACCCACTGGCCCTCAGCTCCTGCCCACCTGGCTGGCCCGGAGCTCGCTCTCAGTGGCCTGCAGGCTCCTCTCCAGTGTGGCCACCTGGTCCAGCGTGGCCCGGCGCTCCCGCTCGCTGCGCCGCACACTCTCCTCCTGCAGTGCCAGCTCCGCCTGGACCCCGCTCAGCCGTCCATCCACACTGCGCCGGGCTGCAGCCACCACCCACCCCGTCAGGCATGGGAATGGCCAAGCACAGCCCTGAGACCCAAACCAGGCCACAAAATGTCCAGCCTGCACTCCACCCAGCACAGGGCCTGTCTGCACCCTTTACAGTGTGCGGGCCTACACAAAGGTGAGGCTGACCAAGCTGGATGTAATAGCCCTGAGTCAGGTCACAGGGGCCACGGCAGGGTCAGAGGCCAATACCCCCGGCTCCTGCCTCAACTACCCAAAACACAGGAGAGAGAACAGGGACCCCCGAGTATCAAACTCACCTTCCTCACTCTCAGCCACCACCTTCTGCAGCTGCCTGGCCCTTGACGTCGCGCTGTCCCTCTCAGCCTCCATCTCAGCCAGCTGGCGATTCAGGGCACTGGTCTGGGTCCGAAGTTCGTCCTGCAGCCCCGACATGGGGGAACAAAGGAAGACCCGGGCTCTGACACCTTGCAACCCCTCCAGGGTCCTCCAGGTTCCCTATCCAGCCACACACCCAGGCTTACCCGTTCTCTTTGGGCGCTCCGAAGCTCCTGCAGGAATTCCCGGAGGGCCCCACGCACTGCCTCTGGGTCCAGGTCTGGAGGAGCTGGGGAGGTAGCAGGTCCTGGAGATGGTGGCTGGGACCCAGGGCTGCATTCTAAGGCGCTAGGGCTGCTGAGCCCTTCCCTACTTCCTAGAAGAGAAGATGCTAAGGAATGCAGGAGCCATGGGCCTTCCATGTACCTCACTCACTCCCATCCCTGCTGCTCCCAACCGCCCTCAGAATCAAGCCCAACCTCTGCTATAGCCTAGGGGCCTTCTTGCCCATCTAGCTGAAACACTCTCACCCTTTACAAAATGGCCACCCTGCATCCATGTTGTAGAACATTCTCTGTCCCAGTCCTAGGACCTCTGTGCATGCTGCTCCCCCTCTCCCCATGGCCTCTCTTTGCCTGGCCCAGCCTTTAGGATACCCCACCCCCCACCCACAGAGGCCTCCCTGGCCCCAGGCTGGATTAGAGTGAGCACATCCCACCCTCAGGGGGGCCTGATGTCTGCCACCCCACCTAGACCACAAGCACCATGAGGGCTGGGCCTCCTCCCTTCCATCCACCACTGTTCCCAGGTGATGCCACTGCATCACCTCAACGTCTCTCCGGACTGAGCACCTACTGTGCCAGGCGCTTCATCTTTATGACAACTTCCTGACAGGTAAGGAACAGTTTACCCTCTTCCCAGGTAAAGCTGGCTCAAAGCAGTTAAGTGATTTGCTTGTTCTCTTGACTGGGTTTGGTGGCTCATGCCTGTAATTCCAGCACTGTGGGGACTGAGGCGGGCGGCTCACTTGAGGTCAGGAGTTCAAGACCAGCCTGGCCAACATGGTGAAACCCTGTCTCTACTGAAAATACAAAAATTGGCTGGGTATGGTGTCTCACGCCTGAAATTCCAACACTCTGGGAGGCCGAAGTGGGTGGATCACCTGAGATCAGGAGTTCGAGACCAGCTTGGCCAACGTAGTGAAACCCCATTTCTACTAAAAATACAAAAATCAGCAGGGTGTGATGGCATGTACCTGTAATCCCAGCTACTCAAGAGGCTGAGGCTGGAGAATTGCTTGAACCTGGGAGGCAGAGCTTGCAGTGAGCTGAGATCGAACCACTGCACTCCAGCCTGAGCGACAGAGTGAGACTCTGTCTCAAAATAATAAATAAATAAAATTTAGAAAGTAGCTGGACATGGTGGCCCACCTTTACAGTCCCAGCTACTGAAGAGGCTGAGGTCTGGAGACTGAGGCAGGAAAATCACTTGAACCCCGGAGACAGAGGTTACAGTAAGTTGAGATAGTGCCACTGCACAGCAGGCTGGGTGACAGAGTGAGACTCCATCTCAAAAAAAAAAAGTGGACTGGGCAGGGCGGCTCATGCCCAGCACTTTGGAAGGCCCAGGCAGGCGGATCACCTGAAGTCAGGAGTTCAAGACCAGTCAGGCCAACATGGTGAAATCCTGTCTCTACTAAAAATACAAAAAATTAGCCAGGCACAGTGGCGCACACCTGTAGTCCCAGCTATTCGGGAGGCTGAGGCAGGAGAATCGCTTGAACCTAGGAGGAGGTTGCAGTGAGCCGAGATGGCACCACTGCACTCCAGGACAGGCAACAGAGCGAGACTTCAACTTAAAAAAAAAAATGTGATTCGCTTGTTCCCAATGCTGGAAAGTTTCAGAGCTAAGATGGGAACCCAGGCAGCCCGACTCCCTGGCAGAAAATTGTGTACTCTGCTTGGAGTGAAGGCTTGGGGAGGTGGAGGGGGCAGGGTGGGTAGAACCAGGGCGCGACCTGGAGGCTGGCACTGGAACTGCAGGACAAGGGTCCTGCCATGAGCATACTGCCTCAGCGACGGCAGAGCAACACCAAAACTGCCCGGCAGCCACAAACTTGGTCACCACCCAAAGGGCCCCACTCAGAGGTTCCCAAAGGAGCAGGCCTGCCCCTGGGGCCTCCAGCACTACAAGGTCCCATGATCTCGGGGTAAAAGTCCTGCAATGTCTACTGCAGCAAGCCCTTCATCCCCACCCCTCACTCTCCTGCTTGATGCTCTGGGACTGCCAGCCCCTGCTGTCCACAGGAAAGGGTGCCTCCACTTCAGACCTCCCCACTGGCCCCGAGTCCCAGCTCACAACCGCTCTCCCCTTCCCCATCACCTCCTCAGTGAGGGACCTGCTGCCCCTACATAAACAGCCCTGGTCCCTCCCTTGGCTTTTCCCCATTTTTTTTGTTGTTGTGACAAAACATATATAACATAAAAGTGTCCCAGTTTCACCATTTTTTTTTTAGACAGGGTCTTGCTCTGTTGCCCAGGCTGGAGTACAGTGGTATGATCAAAGCTCATTGTAGCCTTGACTTCACAGGCTCAATAGAGCCTCCTACCTCAGCATCCCAAGTAGCTGGGACTACAGGCATGTGCCACCATGCCTAGCTAATTGTTGTTGTTGTTGTTTTATAGAGATGGGGTTTCGCCACGTTGATAGGGCTGGTCTCGAACTCCTGGACTCAAGTGATCCACCCCCCTCAGCCCCATAAAGTGCTGAGATTACAGGTGTGAGCCACTGCACCCAGCCCATTTTTACTTTTCTTTCCTTTTTTTTTTTTGTGGAGACAGAATTTTGCTCTTGTTGCCCAGGCTGGAGTGCAATGGTGCAATCTCAGCATCTCAGCTCACTGCAATCTCCACCTCCCGGGTTCAAGCGATTCTCCTGCCTCAGGCTCCTGAGTAGCTGCGATTACAGGTGTGCACCACCGTGCCTGGCTAATTTTTTGTATTTTTTTTTTTTAGTAGAAGTGGAGTTTCATCATGTTAGCCAAGCTGGTCCTCAACTCCTGACTTCAGGTGATCCACCCACCTAGGCCTCCAAAGGGCTGAGATTACAAGCATAAGCTACTGTGCCTGGCACATTTTTACCATTTTTTTTTCTTTTTTTTTTGAGACGGAGTTTCGCTCTTGTTACCCAGGCTGGAGTGCAATGGCGCCATCTCGGCTCACCGCAACCTCCGCCTCCTGGGTTCAGGCAATTCTCCTGCCTCAGCCTCCTGAGCAGCTGGGATTACAGGCGCGCGCCACCATGCCCAGCTAATTTTTTGTATTTTTAGTAGAGACGGGGTTTCACCATGTTGACCAGGATGGTCTCGATCTCTTGACCTCGTGATCCACCCGCCTTGGTCTCCCAAAGTGCTGGGATTACAGGCTTGGGCCACCGACATTTTCACCATTTTTAAGTGTACAACTGAGTGGCATGAATTACAATCACTGTTGTGCAGCCATTACTATCATCTGTTCCCAGATCATCCCGACTAGAGTTTGGCCCAATAGGTCAGGAGTGGCCGGGCGCTGTGGCTCACACCTATAATCCCAGCACTTTGGGAGGCCGAGGCGGGTGGATCACGAGGTCAAGAGATCGAGACCATCCTGGTCGACAAGGTGAAACCCCGTCTCTACTAAAAACACAAAAATTAGCTGGGCATAGTGGTGTGCACCTGTAGTCCCAGCTACTTGGGAGGCTGAGGCAGGAGAATTGCTTGAACCCAGGAGGTGGAGGTTGCGGTGAGCCGAGATCATGCCATTGCACTCCAGTCTGGGTAACAACAGCGAAACTCCGTCTCAAAAAATAAAAAAAAATAGGAGTTTGAGACCAGCCTGACCAACATGGTGAAACCCCATTTCTAATAAATATATATATATATATATATTATCCGGGTGTGTAATGGCTCACATCTGTAATCCCAGCACTTTGGGAGGCTGAGGTGGGCAGATTACTTAAAGTCAGGAGTTCAAGACTCGACTGGCCAACATGGTAAAACCCTGTCTGTACTAAAAATACAAAAATTAGCCAGGTATGCCTGAGGCAGGCGAATCACTTTAACCCGGGAGGCAGAGACTGCATGGGCTGAGATCATGCCACCGCACTCCAGCCTGGGCAAAAGAGCGAGACTCCATCTTAAAAAAAAAAGACAAATTAAAAACAATATATTATTAACAACTATTTCCATTTAACTGTATTTGGTATTGTGAGTAACCTAAAGATGACTGAAAGTATATGGCAGTGTGCACATATGTAATATGCAAGTACTATGCCGCTTCATATCAAGGACTTGAGCATGCACCAATTTTGGTATCCAATGGGGTCCTAGAACCAATCCCCCTTGGACACCAAGGACACTGTCCTTTGTCACAGCAGCTTTGGCAAACTAGGATAGCCCCAAACAGAAACTTTAACTATTATATAAAGCAGTAACCCGCCTGAATCCTCAGCCCTTAGTAACCTGTAATCTGTTTTGTCTCTACGAATTTCTTTATTCTAAATATTTCACGTAAGTGGAATCATACTGTATTGGTCCTTTGGTGACATGGATTTCGCTTAGCTCAATGTTGTCAAGGTTTATTCGTGTTATGGCATGTATCAGAATGTCATTCCTTTTGAAGGCCGGATAATATTCCATGGTCTGTCCACACTGCATTTGGTTTATGCATTCATCTGCAGATGGACTTTTGGGCTGTTTCCTTTGACTATTTTGAGTAATGCTGTAATGAGCACTGGTGCTCAAATATCTGCTCACGCCTGTTTCCAGTTCTTTTGGGTATATACCTACAAGTGGAATTGCTGGGTCTACAGTAATTCTATTTTTAGCGTCCTAAGGAACTGCCAAATCATTTTCCACAGTGACTGCAGCATTTTACATTCCCACCAGCAATGTCCCATGCCTGGTTTTTCCTTTGGAAGGATTTCCTAGAAGGGGTCAGGCCTGGCGGTGTATCTATTTGAGGGAGATGTTGGGGTCACAGGCATGGTGTGGACCTGGGGATGAGAGGCTGAAGAAAATAGGGTGTTGCTGGAGAGAGGGCAGGGTCAATGAAGGATGGAGGCTCAGAAAATCAGAAAAGGAGTCAAGGGCATTAAAATCCTCCATCTCCCAATCCAGGAAAGGCGTGGTGGAGCAGACTTTGGGAGGCTGAGGGGGGAGGATTGCTTGAGTCCAGCAGTTCGAGATCAGCCACATGGCGATCTCTACTAAAAATACAAAAATTAACCAGATGTGGTAGCGTATGCCTGTAGTCCCAGCTACTTAGGAGGTTGAGGTGGGAGGATCACTTGAGCCCAGGAGGCAGAGGTTGCAGTGAGCTGAGATCACACTACTACACTTCAGGGTGACAGAGTGAGACCCTGTCTCAAAAACTAAAAATAACCACCTCCCCTCCCCGCAAAAAGCAGCGACCTAGACCGGGTGCTGTGGCTCATTCCTGTAATCCCAACACTTTGAGAGGCAGAGACAGGAGGATCGCTTGAAGCCAGGCGTTTAAGACCAGCCTGGGCAACATTGAGAGCCCGTCTCTACAAAAACTACAAAAATTAGCTGGGCGTGGTGTTACACCTGTATCCCAGCTACTCAGGAGGCTGAGGAGGGAGGATCAATTGAGCCCGGACAACAGAGGCCTTGTCTAAAAAAAAAAAGCGCCCTAGAGAAACATGGATCAGTGAAGGGAGGGGCCTCGGTAATGGGGCGGGACTAAGAAGTGAGCTTCGGTGGAGGGGCGTGGCCCAGTGAAAGGCGGGCTCCTTGGGCCCAGGCTGGTCTTAAACCTCCTTGGAACCCAACTGTAACGTGGGGTCACGTTACACCTCAGTGCGGCCCGCCCACCTCCCCCCTTCTCTGTCGCCCTGCGCTGTGCTTACCTCTAGCGGGCGCATCCCGGGCAGGGGAGCTGGGCACTGGTTGCGGGGCTGGGCTGGGCGCGCGACCAAGGCCAAGGCCCCGGCGCAGAGCTGAGCGCAGGCCGCCCAGCTGGGCCTCTGCCGCGCGCCGCTGCGCCTCCACGCGGGCCAGCTCGGCCTCCAGGCCTTGTGCCCGGCCCTCGGCCGCGCTCAGCCGCAGGCCCAGCTCTGCAGCCTCGGCCCGCGCCGCCTCCAGCTTCAGCTCCAGGCCGCGGGCGTGGTCCAGCTGCTGCTTTTCAGTGGCGCGTGCCTCCTCCAGGGAGCCCAGCAGGCCTCGTTCGCGGGTTCGGAACTCGCCTTCTTGTTCCTGCAGCTTCCGCTGGGCTACCTGGAGCTGGAGTGATGTCAGGAGGTGGGGTCGGCAAGACCTCCCCCAACCCGATGCCCCACCCCCAAGGCCCAGACTGGAGCCCCACCATCCTTGGCTGTGTGATCAGCACAGCTCTGGCTCCTTTAGTGCTCACCACTCAGGCAGGCACGCAGTGCAAAAACATCCCCGGAGTTTGGGAGAAAATACTAGAATTTGTTTATTTTGTTGATTTGTTGTTTTTTTGAGACAGAGTTTCGCTCTTGTTGCCCAGGCTGGAGTGAAGTAATCAACCTCACTTTACAGAAGATGAAACAAGCACAGAGATGCTAAATAACTTGTCTAAGGCCACAGAGTTAGTAAACTGCAGAGCTGGGATTCAAAGCCAGGCACTCTAGCTCCAGAGGCTTTTTTTTGTTTTTGTGGGGTTTTTTTGTTTTTGGAGACGGAGTCTAGCTCTGTCGCCCAGGCTGGGGTGCAGTGTTGCAGTCTCCGCTCACTGCAACCTCCACCTCCCAGGTTTAAGTGATCCTCCCACCTCCGGAGTAGCTGGGATTACAGGCGAGCACCATCACACCCAGCTAATTTTTTTATTTTTAGTAGAGACAGGATTTCGCCATGTTGGCCAGACTGGTCTCAAACTCGTGGCCTCAAGTGATCCACCAGCCTCGGCTTCCCACAGTTGCTGGGATCACAGGCGTGAGCCACCCTGCACAGCTGTTTTTGTTGTTCTTTTTTAGCTTAACAGCAGCTTATTAATCACATGTACTCCCTGCTAACCTGGGGGTTAGGGGAAGGCAGGGAAGTGGGGAAGGGAAGTGCATACCACACAGGGCCACACAGGGGCTGCGGGCTGCAGTTGGGAACAGTTAACAGCCAGGAAGGTTAAGTGCCTACTGGTTCCAGAGGGAGGTGTGTCCAGAGGCTGTTCCCTTAACCACTAGGCTATAATGCCCCTTCTTACACATAATTAATCAACAAATCTGCACACAGTGGGGCAGGCACTAAAAAATTATTTACTGATGGCATGCGTGGTCACAGACACAAAGCCACCCCTGCCGTTTAGAGAGCCTCTCACAGTCACCAGTTTCACAGGAAACCCCAACTACTGAGCAACTGGGTGCCAGGACCTGTGCCAGGGCACTTCATACATGCCCTGCTATGCTAGCCCGTCTCCCGTGATCGCTCTGAGGCACAGGATGAAGTGGCTTGGTCCAGGCCGTTCAACAGACTCATGGTGGTGAAACAGCCGGAAAAGGCAGAGTGGAAAGCGTGTGGGCTTTGGAGTCAGACAGACCTGGGTGGCTGTGTGACTGTGGGTAGATCCCCTGGCCTCTGTGAGTGCTCTGTAAGATGGGGCTAATGGTAGGATGGGCACAGTAGCTCACACCTGTAATCCCAGCAGTTTGGGAAGCCGCAGCAGGTGGATCATCTGAGGTCAGGAGAGTTCCAGAGCGGCCTGACCAACATGGTAAAAATACAAAAAAATTAGCTGGGCATGGCAGCGGGCACCTGTAATCCCAGCTACTAAGGAGGCTGAGGCAGAAGAATCGCTTAAACCTGGGAGGTGGAGGCTGTAGTGAGCCAAGATCGCACCATTGCATTCCAGCCTGGGCGACAGAGTGAGACACCATTTAAAAAAAAAAAGAATTGGGCTAACAGTACTTACCCCATGGGGCTTCTGGGAGAATCAAACAAGGGCGTATCTACAGGACCTTCCGCACCTGTTCTGTGATGGCACACAGTAGACCCACTATTCTTTGGATTGTTATTATTTGGGTGGTTGTTATTATAATTGGGGAAGAGTCTCAAGAAGTGGGGGAAGGAAGAAGCCCTAGGAAGTAGCCTTTCAGAATAAGCCCGCCATTCAGGTGCCCACCTGCTTCTTGTTGGGGGGAGGAAGGATGCACCAGCCTGCCCACCTGCCCAGTTACCTCCTGCCGCATCACCTCCAGTCTGGCCTCGCCCTTCAGCAGCCTCTGCCTGAGGCCCAGCGTCTCCCGTCGGCTCTCTTTCTCTGCCCGCTCACCCAGCACCAGGCGGCCCTGCAGCTCTGCCAGCTCCCGGCCCAGCCTGGTGTTCTCACTGTCCAGCACCTTCATCTGTGAGAGAGTGGGAATGGCAGCAGGTTCAGCTCGGCCCCTGTACCCCCAGTCCTGGCCCCAGAACACTCGGGACCTACTGCTCTAGGGACATATGCATCAAATGCCACCCCATACCCACTGGGAGCCAGCCTCTAGATAACCACACTGAGCTCGAGCGATGCCAGGCACTTGGGCACCAGTGGCCTGTTTACCGTTTAATCAATGGACCAAAACTACCTTTCATGAGTGGATGGGTATAATAGGAGGGCTCAGCCCTTAGCAGACCAGGCGCTCACCGGACGGAACCACACCTGGGTTTCTTTCACCTCTGCAATGGTGATGAACATTTTTGGAGCACTTACCACCTGTGTCCAGGCCTGTTCTAAGCACTGCAGTTACATTAACTCATTTAATCTTCGTACAATGCTCTATGAGGTAGGTAGTAACACTATCCCTGTTTAACAGATGAGAAAACAGCCTCATAGAGTCAAAGTAACCTGCCCGAGGTCACACAGCCCATACACAGCAGACTGGGATTCAATCTGAGACAAGCACAATGTTCTAAGCCCCTATTTCTCCACAGGGGCAAGTGGGGGTACTGCCTACCTACCCCACGGTGCTACGGCAGGATTAACACGAGATGCCATAGCGTGCAACACACCCAGCAAGAGCTTGGCACACAAATGTTAGTTCCTTTCAGGGAGTCTTTTGGTTTCTCAGGAAGGGGCCTGGGTGAAGGGGGCTGTGGTGGGAGATGGAAAGGATTTGTTCTCTTTTTTTGGGGGGACGGAGTCTCACTCTGTCACCCAGGCTGGAGTGCAATAGTGTGATCTTGGCTCACTGCAGCCTCCGCCTCTTGGGTTCAAGCAATTCTCCTGCCTCAGCCTCCCAAGTAGCTGGGATTGCAGGTGTGTGCCACCAGGCCCAGCTAATGTTTTGTATCTTTAGTAGAGATATTTCACCGTGTTGGCCATGCTAGTCTCGAACTCCTGACCACCTTGGCCTCCCAAAGTGCTGGGATTATAGGTGTTAGCCACCGATCCTGGTGGAGGATTTGTTATTTCGGCTCTGGTATCTCTGGGTATCACAATATATCTGACTATCCTGTTGTGATATGACTTTTTTAATTAAAAAAAGTTTGGTGGAGGGCCAGGCATGGTGGCTCACACCTATAATCCCACCACTTTGGGAGGCTGAGGTGGGTGGATCACCTTACATCAGGAGTTCAAGACCAGCCTGACCAACATAGTGAAACCCTGTCTCTGCTAAAAATACAAAAATCAGCTAGATGTGGTGGCGGGTGCCTGTAGTTCCAGTTAATCGGGAAGCTGAGGTGGGAGAATCGTTTGAACCCTGGAAGCAGAGGTTGCAGTGAGCTGAGATTGCCCATTGAACTCCAGCCTGGGCAGCAAAAGTGAAACTCCATCTCAAAAGAAAAGAAAAGGGATTATGTCTAAAGGAAGAACAAAATTTCTTGACAGAAAGTTCACATTTCAGTGTCGCTAAACCAAGTTTGGAACCCACACCCATCCGTCCCTGCCCCGTTTGGGACTGCTTTCTCACTACCCCAGCAGAGTCAAGTAGTTGCAACAGAGACTGGGTGGCCCGTTAAGCTGGAAAAATTTACCATTTGGGCTCTTCACAGAATACAATTTGCCAACCCCTGACCTAGTTCATGAAATCTGTAGCTTTTGTTGTTGGCAGATTCCTTTGGGAACTTGACAAGGATGCCAGCTCCTCCCCTTGGAGAAGTGTGAGCCTGAGTGTGCACACAAATGCACGCAGACTTTCCCAGTTTCAGGGATTCCAGGACACCTCAAAGCCCATCCATTCACACCAAGGTTACGTGAGAGGGCTGGTCATGGTTCAAGCCCCTGGTTTTACATATGGGGAAATATGATTCCAGAAAGGGGTAGCTACCGGCAACCCTGGGGCACATAGCTAGCCCGGGATAAGGGGTGGCACAGGGAGAGTACCTGCCGCCGGAGCTCCTGCAGCTCCCGCCGAGCCTCCAACCGTGAGCGCTCCACCTCCTGCAGCCCAGTCCGCAGCTCCCCAGCCTCCTTGCCCACAGCTGTCCGTGCCTCCTCTAGGAGTGCCAGCTTCTGCTCCTTGTCTTCGTTGGCAAGCTTCAGGCTGGAGAGGGCAGAGGTCAGAGGCTGCCCTGGGTCCTGGGAGTAGCCAGTGGCTCTACACAAAAGTCACCTCCTCCATTTCCTGGAGTGGGTCAGGCACTGCCTGCCCATGTGGCCCCTCCCGAGAGCTGAGCCCCCCCAAGGCTGGGACCCAGGCCCTCGGCTGGCAGGGGTAGACCAGTGACTCCAGGAGAGGACTTGGTCTCCAGGGTCATGATGGCGGGTGGGTCTGAGTCTGGACCCAACCCTGCCCGCTGCCCCTCTGCCCCATTCCCCAATCAATTGGGAGGAAACCCTCCTAAAATGACCCAGGTGCCAGGCTCTGCTTAGGAGACAGAGAATCCCTATCTGGGCAATTTCCCCAGAACCTCTGGGGTGAAGTTTGGTTGCAGGGATGGGATTCTGTGAGGACATGGGGCTGGTCACCCCGCTCCCCGTGACGCCTCACCTGATGCGCTCACTCTCTGCCTTCTTCACAGCAGCCCGCAGCTCCTCATTGGAGCGCCGCAGGGCCTCGCGCTCCTTGGTGCCCTCGCCCAGGCTGCGCCGCAGCTCACCCGCCTCCTGGCGCTGCACCTCACGGCCCTCCTGGCTCTCACGCAGCTTGCGCTGGGCCTCCAGCAGCTCCCGCCGCAACCCATCTCGGGCATCTTCCAGAAGACGCAGCTGGGTCCGAAGCTCTTCTGCCTGTGCACATGGCACATGTCCCCAAGCCAGCGGTCAGGGTGCCTTGTACCCCAGATCCCTGGCCCCAGGGAGCCTTCCCCATCCCTCTGCAGTGCTCGGACCATAGGCTGTGAGTTATCATTTGAGCAAGGCATGCTGTAATCAGTAACATTTTGACCTGAAGTCACCATGTCAAGATTGTTCTGTGCACAGCAGCAAGAGGGCAGAGACCCCACTCACCCCTCCTTGAGGCCAAATCTCACCTGTCCATGACAGGTGCTTCATGAGTGCCTGCTGCCTCCTTTGTAAGTTGCAATTCATTGATCCTCAAATGCAGGGAGGAATCTTACACTCTCCTCAGTCCCATAGGACCAGCCCCCAGGCACACAGAGCCATTTAGGGTGTGCTGCTCGGAAGAGGTGGGTACCTGCTCACCTCTCGAAGACAGGAGTCGCGCTGTTTGCCCAGGTCTCGGCCCTGCTCTTGCAGCCTCCTCACCTCCTGGGCGTGGGCCGCAGCAGCCTCCTCCATCTGGGCCCGTAGGTCCCGCAGCTCAGACATCAGAGCATTCACGGTGCTCTGGGACAGAGGGGCTCCTCAGAGTTGGTCCTGCTGTGTCCCCCAGCCCCAAGCTGCTCCCACTCACTGGCTGCACTGTCCACTTTCAGCTCCAAACATGGCCCCTCCTGTTGGCCTCCCAGACCTTCTGCTGACCCCTGGATGCACTGTGAATGCTGTCCGTGTGGCCAGGCTCTCCCTCAGGCCAAAAGGATTCTCCAGGACAGGGCTGAGCCACCTCCCTCAGATGGGGGCTCCCAAAGGAAGGGCTGAACCTCCTCTCCCACAGCCTGGAAGCTTCTCCAGGATGGGGTGCCCTGCCTCCCCACGGTGGGGACTCCTCAGCCAGTGCCTCTCCATAAGATGGACACCAGCTGCCTGGCCCACCCTACCCGGTCCTGCTCCTGCCGGCTCTGGGCGTCCCGTTTCTGCCGCTCCATCTCCAGGGAGATGGTGGCCAGGTTGTGCCGTGTGCCCATCAACTTCTCTGACAGCGCCGTCTTCTCAGACTCCTTCAGAGACAAAGCCTGGGCAGAGGCAGAAGACAAAGGGCTTGGGGGATGGGCTGGTCCTGGGGAGATGATTGGACTTCTTCCTGCCTGGGAAGTGTGGCAATTGGGGGCTTAGAGGCCTGAGTGTGCCACCACAGGTGGACCCGGGGCAGAGGCAGCCCTGGGAAAGCCACAACAGCAGTCACAAGAACCTGGACATGGATACCACCCACAAAGCTCACCAACCCGCCGTGACACCCCTACGACAGAGTCTTCTATTCTCCCCCCTCTTTTTTTTTTTTGAGATGGAGTTTCTCTCTTGTCACCCAAGCTGGAGTGCAATGGTGCGATCTTGGCTCACTGCAACCTCTGCCTCCCAGGTTCAAGCGATTCTCCTGCCTCAGCCTCCAGAGTAGATTACAGGTATCTGCCACCACACCCGGCTAATTTTGTATTTTTAGTAGAGACGGGGTTTCTCCATGTTGGTCAGGTTGGTCTTAAACTCCTGACCTCAGGTGATCAGCCTACCTTGGCCTCCCAAAGTGAAAGGATTACAGGCGTGAGCTACCTCGCCTGATCTTCATTCTTCTACTTTACAGATGAGTAAACGGAGGCTCGAGGGGGCAAAGTGACTCACCCAAGTACCCAGCTGTCGAGGAGAGGAGATGGGCATGGTCTGCCCTGTCGCCATTATATGATGGGAAAGTTAGGGATTTGGTACTGTGGGGACAGGTCAGCTGATGCCTGTGGGCCTCATGGGGACTGCTCAGAAGGCAGCCATGAGGATCCATGCCCAGCCTGGGGTGGGACAAAGCCTGAGAGAATATGGAACAGCTTTCCTGGTGTCATGACTGTCACCGTCACTCAGCAAGTGCTGTGTCCCAGGCATGAAGCACAGCAAAGCCTTGTGAACTCCCCTTTTTTAGTTTTGTTTAAAGAGACGGGGTTTCACCATGGTCTCGATCTCTTGACCTTGTGATCTGCCCGCCTCAGCCTCCCAAAGTGCTGGGACTACAGTCGTGAGCCACCGCGCCCAGCCTGCGAACCCCCTTCTAATCCTGTCCTGCAGGTGAGGAAACTCAGGCCCCCAACAGGGAAATGGCCTGCCCCAGGGCTCCCAGCTGCCAGGTGGCTAAGTGGGGCCCAGCCTGAGAACAGGAGTAGCTCAGAGAGCCTCAAAGGCCGCGCCAGGGCTCACGAACCTGCTGCTTCTCACTCTCCGCCAGGAGGAGGCCCTCGTCACGCTCCTGCTGCAGGGCAGCTATCTCCTCACTCAGCTCTTCCTTCTCGGCCTCCAGCCGGGCCAGCAGCTCCTCCTGCTCACGCTGCAGCTGACTCTGCAGCTGGGCTCGCTCGGCCTCCATCTCCCGCCATGCTGCCTCCTAGGGGGCCAGGACCCGGCGCATGTGATACATGAGGAGGGGCACGGGCAGACCCCTCAAATCTTAGGGCAGCAAGAGCCATCTAGCCGCCATACTCTCAGAGATAGGGAAGGTGACCAGGTAACTACAAGGGGGTGATGAGGGCTATGATGGGGACACACCAAGGCTGTAAAAGGATCCAGGAGTAGCAGTGGGTTGGCTTGGGGGTCTGAGTGTGATCCCGAGGAGGGACAAGTAGCTTCAGCCAGGAAAAGAGAGAAAAGATAAAGAACCCCAGGCCAAGAGCACAGCCCCTGGAAAGACCTAGAGGATTCAGGGCATAGAGGGAAACGGGATACGGTGTGCCACGCACCAGAGCCCCAGGCAGTGGCCAGACCAGGCCAGGCCATGTGGGCCACAGGGATTCTGAGGACAGTGCAGGGAGTGGGGAGAGGACTCAAGTCGAGGTGACAAGGAGCATCTGATGTTCAGCTTAGAGGATGTTTTGACAGCTGTGAAGAGGGAGCAAGGGGTGGGGTGGAGGGGAGTTAGGACTGGCTGTGAGGAATGAAGGGGGTCAGGGGATGGCAGAGGAGCTGGAGAGAAGGACACAGATTTGGGGACGTTAATAAGGCCAAGCCAGGCAGAGCAAAGGGCAAGAGCAAGAGGGAGGCCGTAGGAGTTTAGCTCCCTGGGGACTGGATAGGTGGGCAGGTAGAGCCCACAGGCAAAGAAAGAGCAGCCCCCAGAGGGGCTGAGGGAAGGTGCCTGCCCCAGCACTTGCCCCTAGCGACTTTGTGAGAAGCAGAGAGAGTAGCCTCTTCTTCTTCTTTTTCTTTCTTTCTTTCTTTTTTTTTTTTTTTTTTGAGGTGGAGCCTCGTTCTGTCGCCCAGGAGTGCTGTGGTATAATCTTGGCTCACTGCAACCTCTGCCTCCAGGGTTCAAGCGATTCTCCTGCCTCAGCCTCCCAAGTAGCTGGGATATAGGTGTGTGCCACCACGCGTGACTAATGTTTTGTATTTTTAGTAGAATGGGGTTTCACCATGTTAGCCAGGATAGTTTCCATTTCCTGACCTCATGATCCACCCATCTCAGCCTCCCAAAGTGCTGGGATTACAGGCGTGAGCCACCGCACCCAGCCAAGCCACCCCTTCTTGAAGAGCTTTACCGCCACCTGCTGGAGAAGTGTGATACAATCACCCAAGGCCAAGGGGACTGCAGGGTGAGTGGCGTGTCCTGGAGCCACACGGTCATAGCCTGCACTGCTGTTGAAGGCAGCCCTGTCCAGGATTTGGTGGCCCATGGTCCCTGTCCTGAGGGCCACTCTGGAGAGCTATGCCTGTGCCAGCAATAACTTATGCAGCATTTGCTAAGTGCCAGTCACTATGCTAAGCCCTTTATGCAGATGGTCTCACCTCATCCTCAATACCTTCCACCTATCCCCATTTCTACAGGAGGGGAAATGAAGGCACAGACACCTTGGGTAGCATTACCAGTAAGTGACCAAGATTAGTTTCAAACCCAGGCAATATAACTAGAGTCAGTGTTCTAGTAACTTCCCCTTGCCTTTCTATATGCTCAGGTCGGAGTGGCCTTTCATATGCAAACAGTACTTCTTAGCAAATAAAAACACTCTCCTGCTGTACATTAGGTCAGCATTTCCCAAATGTGATTGTGGACCCTCTGCATCAGGATTACCAGGGCTGGACCAGATTTGGGACCTGGGAATCTGCATGTCTAATAAGGTTCACAACCTCCCCATACCCCAGTCTTCCCAGCTGTCCCCAGAGCCTCCACAACAGAGATTAAGTCCCACTTCACAGATGCAGAGACCAAGGCAGAGCAAGAAAGATGGTGAGACAGTAGCTCAGAGTTCTGCCCACCCATCTCCTACTGCTCAAACCTTTTCACGCTGGAGTCGCTGTAAGTCCTCCTCATGGGCTGCCCGCTGCTCCCGCAGAGAGGCCTGGGCTTCCCGCTCAGCCTGCACCAGCTTCTGGGCCATCAGCTCCTTGTCTAGACTGGCTTTCTCTTGTGTAGCTATTATTTGCTGCCGAAGGCCCGCCAACTCCCCTGAACGAGAGGAATGGAGGAAAGGGCAGGGTTGGGTTGAATCCTCTCCTTGGGCCAGCAGACTTAGGCCACATGAGCCACATGGACAAAATCCCAGAGGGATGCTAGGGCCTGCCTGGCATCTAGGATGGGTCCTCTTGAAGAAATGGCTTGACCGCTCTGAGCCTCAGTTTCCCTATCTGCCACATGGGCCCACTGGCCCTGGCCCCTTACCTAGAATGGCATCAAAGGCATAAAATGACTAATGAGATGGCCTCCCAAATGGGAAGGATATCAAAGATATAACAACCCTAGGCCAGGCACCATAGCTCATGCCTGTAATCCCAGCACTTTGGGAGGCTGGGGCAGGGGCATCACCTTAGGTCAGAAGTTCGAGACCAGCCTGGCCAACATGGTGAAACCCTGTCTCTACTGAAACTACAAAAATTAGCCAAGTGTGGTGGCGGGCGCATGTAGTCTAGCTCCTTTGGAGGCTGAGGCAGGAGAATCGCTTGAACCTGGGAGCAGAAGTTGTAGTGAGCTGAGTTTACACCACTGCACTCCAGCCTGAGCGACAAGAGCGAGACTCTGTCTCAAAAAAACAAAACAAAAACCCTATTACTGATTGAGCACCTTGCTAAGTATTCTAGAAATAACTTCATTTTGTCTTCATAACATGCCTAGGTAGTTTATCCCCATTTCACAGATGATGAAATGGAGGCTCAGAGGAGACCAGCAGCAACTTCCCGAACCTGCACAGCTACATATACAGCAGCTCCTTTAATGAATGACATACACATACCTGTCAAGCGTTAACTATTAGCACTAGTGAAAATGACTACAGGAAATGGAAATGGTATAGCCACATGGACCATCTAAGAACCATCTCCCAGGTTGGAAACGCACCAGCATTTCTCTTCCTGGTTCTGTCTGGCCCAGGTGGACATGGACAGGAAAATTAATTTCCATGACCCAAGTAGGTGCTTAGTTAATGTTAGGTGAGCAGAAAGAAGCCCTGAGTTCAGACACTGGATGGGGAACTATGAAGAGACATGGGGCTGGATTTTGGCGCAAGAGATGAAAACCAGAGAACTCAGACTCTCTGACAGGCCTGATGGCGGATGAACAGCGGTTACTGTTGACCAAGTCAGATACCATGCTGAGACCTTCACACGCTTTTCCTACTTCATCCTGGTAACAGGCTTAGAAGGTAGGCACTGTCACCTCTAACGATCAGATGAGGAATCTGCAGCCCAGAGAGGAAAGGGGCTTGCTCAAGGGAAGAGCAGATCTAAGCGGTAGTGCAAGACTGGAACCCAGGCCAGCCAGGCTCCTACTCCAGTGCTCCCAACTTCTGTGAGACCCCAGACTTTGAAAGGTTGTAGTCTGGGCAGAAGCCTGGTGTTCCCCCCAAGTCCCCGGCCCCTCATACCAGTCAGGGTCTCCTTGGTCAGCAGCAGGGCCTGCCCATCAGCTTCCAGCTGCTCCCGGCGGGCCTCGAGCTGGGCCAGCTGCCGCTGCACCTCAAACAGGCTACTCTCCAGGGCTTCCTTCTCCAAGCTGCAGCACATACAGTCCCTGAGGCCCTGGGACTCAGCCTGCCTGACCCCAGGAAACTGTGGATCTCAGGGTGTGGCCAAGCATGGGCTGAGTGCCAACCTACCTGCCTGGCCAGGCCCACCCTCCCTGGGGAAGCCTGAGCCATAGCTAGGACGTGTTGGCAAGCCAGACTCCTTAGTAACTGCCCCTAGGGGCCAATGCCTGGCCATGGTGTGGCCCCAGGAAGACCCCCCAGGTGGGTTGGGCAAAGCCCAAGGCCTTACCGCAGGCGTGTGGCCTCCTCTGACAGGGTTCTGCCTTCACGCTCTGCAGCTGCCAGCTGCACGGCCAGGCCAGAGCGCTCCTTGGCTAGTGCCTCCTTCTCCCGGGCCACGCGCTCCAGCGCCTCCACCTGCCGCTGGGCCTCCCGCCGGGCCTGCTCCAGCTCTTGCTCCCGCCCGCTCAGCTGCCGGGAAAGCTGCCCCCACCCAGAGACTGTGAGAAGTACTCCCAGCATCCCCCAGCTTGTTCATCATGCCGCACCCCAACTCTGGGCCTAACACAGTTCTGGTAGAAGGCCTGGTTTTGAGCCCAGTGTCTGCCCTGATGTGCTATATGTACTTGGGCAAGTCATGACCTTCTCTAGATCTGCAATGTACGTGCATACGAAAATGAAACCCAGCCAGGCACAGTGGCTCACGCCAATAATCCCAGCGCTTTGATGGGTGGATCACTTGAGGTTAGGAGTTCAAGACCAGCCTGGCCAATGTGGTGAAACCCTGTCTCTACTAAAAATACGAAAATTAGCCAGACATGGTAGTGCATGCCTGTAGTCCCAGCTACTCATGAGGCTGAGGCAGAGAATAGCTTGGACTCCAGAGGTGGGGGTTGCAGAGAGCTGAGATTGTGCCACTGCAGTCCCGCCTGGGCAATAGAGCGAGACTCTGCCTCAAAAACCAACCAAACAACAACAATAACAAAAACCAGGGCCCTCACTCAGCTTTGGGAGGAACAGAACCCTTTTATTACCCCAGACTTGCAGAGAAGCTGAATATATAAAGCAGACCCAGTGGTGCTGCTCAGCAGGCCTCAAGGTGGAGACCTGAACCCTGCTTCCTGCACCTACCACCCCATCCTCTAGAGACCCCTCCCAGAAGCTCAGGCATTCCAGTATAAACACTGCATAAAGGTCCCTGGATCCCTGAAACCCTAAGGTCTCTTCCAGCTGTGATGTTCCCAAAAGTCTAAGATTCCAATTCTAAAAGTCTTGACCTAATATCATATTATTAATCTGTACTGAGTGGTGACTCAGGGCCAGACCATCCTCTGAAAGTCCTTACACAAGTTTTCCCCTGTATTCTTCAGAATTTCCTTTTTTTGAGATAGAGTTTCACTCTTGTTGTGCAAGCTGGAGTGCAATGATGCAATCTAGGCTCACTGCAACCTCCGCCTCCCGGGTTCAAGTGATTCTCTTGTCTCAGCCTCCAGAGTAGCTGGGATTACAGGCACCCGCCACCATGCCCAGCTATTTTTTGTTTTTTTGTTTTTTTTTTTTAGTAGAGACAGGGTTTCACCATGTTAGCCAGACTGGTCTCAAACTCCTGACCTCAGGTGATCCGCCCACCTGGGCCTCCCAAAGTGCTGGGATTACAGGCATCAGCCACCACGCCCACCCAGAATCTCCTTTTCTAATAAGAATGCTTAGACCCACGTTACAGATGGGGCAACTCAGGTATAGGGAGGTTGGGTAACTTGTCCAAGGTTCCCAGTGAGCAGAAATGCAGCTGTATTTAACCCAGAAGCAGGCTCCAGAACCCACCCCACACAGCGCAGCCCACCTGGGCTAGCTGCTCCTGCAGCCGGCTGCGCTCATGGCGCAGTGTGGGAAGCTGCTGCTCCAGCGCCTCCTGCGCCTGCTCCGCCACTCGTAGGGAGCCCTCCAAGCCCTGCCGCGCCACCTCCTGCTCCAACCTCAGCTCCTCCAGCCGCTCCTGCTCTTCCCGCGCCACTGTGGCCTCCTGCTCCGCCCGCCGCTGCCAGCCCTGCAGGGCTGCCTTTTCTTCCTCCAGCTGGGGGCCAGGTAGGGGTAGGGCCTCCTGAGCAGGGCGTCCCTCCCAGGACCAGGACACCTCCTCTACCCACCCACCATCCACAGTAGCCCAGGGGAGGCTCCCAGGGAATGAGGGACAGTGCCCTTGGGTGTATGGGAAACTGGGGGGGGTGGGGTTGATGAGGAGGGCCAATCAAATTTCTGTGCTCTGACACAGAGAGGATAGACAGAGACAGAGAACCAGAAACAGAAAGGGAGACAGAGGCCAAGACAGAAAGGTGCAGGGCGGGGCCCGGGACGCCTCACTGAGTAGGGAGGATGGGTGGGCAAGGCAGGTGGGCCCACAGATGCGCAGTATACCTGGGCGACAAGGCGGTTCAGATCCAACTTGTCCTGAGCAAGGCTCTCGTTGAGGGCACTCATCTTGGACAGGGAGTCCTGCAGGGAGGCCTCCTCTGCCCTCAGCTTAGTCATGGAGAGTTCAAGCTCCACGCGGCCAGCCTCAGCCTGCAGGGTCAGGCCAGAGCGGCCAGAGGTGGTCAGGCCCGGAGAGATGAGGAGAGGCAGAAAGGTGGGGAGGAGATGAGGAGAGGCAAGAAGAGACCCAGAGAAATGGACTCTCAGAGACAGCGGGGGAGAGACAAGGAAGAGGCATAGCGTGAGATGGAAAAAAATATCACCGAAGAAAGCCTGCTGCTTATGGAGCCATTTAAAAGCCACACACTGGCCAGGCATGGTGGCTCACACCTGTAATCCCAGCACTTTGGAAGGCCAAGGTGGGCGGATCACCTGAGGTCAAGGGTTCAAGACAAGCCTGGCCAACATGGTGAAACCCCGTCTCTACTAAAAATACAAAAATTAACCAGGCGTGGTGGTGGGTGCCTTTAATCCCAGATACTCAGGAGGCTGAGGTGGGAGAATTGCTTGAACCCAGGAGGCAGACATTGCAGTGAGCTGAGATCCCACCATTGCACTCCAGCCTGGGTGACAGAGCAAAAGACTCCGCCAAAACAAAAAACAAAACAAAAAAAACGCCATGCACTACAGAGCTGTGCAAAAATAGCTCACGCTTGACCGGGTGTGGTGGCTCACGCCTATAATCCCAGCACTTTGGGAGGCCGAGGCAGGTGGATCACGAGGTCAAGAGACCAAGACCATCCTGGTCAACAAGGTGAAACCCCGTCTCTACTAAAAATATTTTAAAAATTAGCTGGGCATGGTGGTGCACGCCTGTAGTCCCAGCTACTCGGGAGGCTGAGGCAGGAGAATTGCTTGAACCCAGAAGGCGGAGGTTGCGGTGAGCCGAGATCATGCCATTGCACTCCAGCCTGGGTAACAACAGCGAAACTCCGTCTTAAAAAAAAATATATATATATATATAGCTCAAGCTGCTGGGCAGGGCCAGAGTTCAGAGAATGCCCCATGTGGGGTCTAGGGATAGCACTGCTCAGAGCCCAGCCTGCAGCGGACAGGGCAGGCCCCCTACCAAGGACTCTCTGGGCTGTGGCCCCAACTCTCAGACCCCAGGAGCTGAGTCTCAGGTACTGGATGAACCAGAGCTACAGGCACTACCCCCAGGAGAATCTGGAAGAGCAGGGGTATGGCCATAAAGAGAGGTCAATGACTTTTGATGGTTGGGACCAGAGGTCCAGAGGTCCATGGCCTGCTACAAAGATCAGCCTGCATCCAGAAGGAAGGGGTCAGTCTGTGACCAGGCTCAGAGGTCGGCCTGATTTTGGGACCAGTCCAAGCCAGAGTGAGAAGGCTGGGGCCAGGGGTCAGAGGGAGGTTTGTGGTTGTGCAGCAAACGGGGACCCACCTTGGTCAGCGCCTCGGCCACCTCAGCCTTCTCGGCCTGCAGCATGTCCTGCTGCAGCGTGGCGCGACTCAGCGCCTCCCTCACCTCCACCAGCTCCTTGGCCAGGACTGAGCGCTTCCCTTCTAGCTGCTCTAGTTGTCTATGGCTGTGGGAAAGAGGGCAGGTGGTAGCCCATGTCACTTTCCTCCCCTGAACTTCCTGTAGCCAGCGGGATGCTGGGCTGGGGACCAGGTCTGAGGCAGGAGTTTAGAGAGAAAGAGCCTGACCTACAGGGCAACTAAGCCCACTATTGCATAGATCCACAACCCTGGGCATCTGTTTTCACATCCACAAAATGAGGTAACACCTGCCTCATGACATTGTTTTTTTGAGACAATCTCGCTCTGTCCCCCAGGCTGGAATACGGTGGTGCGATTTTGGCTCACTGCAACCTCTGTCTCCCAGGTTCAAGGGATTCTCCTACCTCAGCCTCCCAAGTAGCTGGGATTACAGGTGCTCATCACCATGCCCCACTCATTTTTATAGTTTTAGTAGAGATGGGGTTTCCCCATGTTGGTAAGGCTTGTCTCAAATTACTGACCTCAGGCGATTTGCCTGCCTTGGCCTTCCAAAATGTTGGGATTACAGGCAGGAGCCACCACACCCAGCTGTTTTAAGGATACAAACTTCACATGTGCTTAAAATAGTGCCTGACACATCTCCCCAAGGACCTTTAGAAACGAGAATAATATACACCACTACAATCTACTAAACATCATCATCCATCATGTCCCAGAGAGGTAAGCAGTGCAGTGGTGAAGAGGTTAATTCTGAAGGCAGAATGCCTGGGTTCAAATCCTGGCTCTTCTGTGACTAGTGTGTGACCTGGGGCAAGTTACATGGCTTCTCTGTGCCTCAGTTTACCATCCACAAAATGGAGATAACGACAGCTTCTACATCACAGAGCTATCATGAGAGTTAAATGAGAGAACTGAATTGCTTAAAATGGTACCTGGCACTTAACAAAATTAATAAGGATATTATTATTATCATAGCTAAATTTTAAAAATACTATTATTAGCGGGACATGGTGGCTCATGCCGTAATCCCAGCACTTTGGGAGGACAAGGTGGATGGATCACCCGAGGTCAGGAGTTTGAGACCAGCCTGAGCAACATGGAGAAACCCCATCTCTACTAAAAATACAAAATTAGCCAGGTATGTTGGCACATGCCTGTAATCCCAACTACTTGGGAGGCTGAAGCAGGATAATCGCTTGAATCTGGGAGGGGGAAGTTGCAGTGAACCAAGATCGTGCCATTGCACTATAGCCTGGGCAACAGGAGCAAAACTCCATCTCAAAAAAAAAGAATACTATTATAAATATTACTACTGTTATTTTAATTATTGTTGTCATTATCATCCAAGACCTTTTACTAGTTCTGTGATCCCAGGTAAGTGACTACACCTCCTTGAGCCCCAATTTCCTGAAATGGGTCTGGTTAGAAAACCCAACATCACAGGGGTCGAGATGGTAGGAGGCCCAGGACCTAGTGGGTGCTCTCCCAGGTCCCCGGGGCACTGTCAGGGGACCTGAGGCACATTTGAAGGGCCCTGGCAGGGCGGCGGGATGCTGCTCACCTGCGCTCAAGCTCCCGGCGCACCCGAGCGCCATCCTGCACCATGTCCTCCTGCTCTTCCTCCAGCCGGTCCCGCTGGCGCCGCAGCTCCTCCTGGGTGGCCTGCAGCTTCTCCCGCTCCTGCCGAAGCTCCTCAGCCTGCTGCTGGGCCACCTGCAGGCTGTGGGCCAGGTTGCTCTTCTCCCTTCAGGACAAGAGGAGGGGGAGCAGAAGGGATGCTGGGGCTGCTCTCTCCAAGGAAGGTTGCTCTCCTAGTCATGAGCTATATCCTCCTATCTTCCAAGGCACCTGCCTCCAGGAAGCCTTCCCTGACCTTGCCCATGGCTGATTCATTTCACTCACACCCTCCAGCAGAAGAATCTGGCCTTCCTTCTCCCCAGCTCTCTCACTGGGAAGCCCAGTGGAATGGATGGAGGTGCTGGCATTATCTCCAAGCACCCTTCCAGGTAGAAGAGGCCAGGCCAGGCTCCTGGGACACATGGGCAAGTGTGCCGCCAGCTCTGCTAGGCCATGCGACCAGGAAATGCTCCCTACAACACCCCATGCCCCTCGATTCTGGGAAGCCCAACAGAGCTGAGTCTGCAGATCCCACAGCTTCCTGCTACATAAGCACATGGTAGCAATGGCAGGAGAGGGAGGAGAAAGCAACGACTGGGACCCCAAAGACCTGCCATAAGCTGCCACTTTCCCTACTGGCGGTAGGTGCAAAAAAACTTCACAAAGTGTTTTTTTTTTTTTTTTTAGATATGGGGTCTCACTATGTTGCCCAGGCTGGAGTGCAGTGGCTATTCACAGGTGCGATCCCACTACTGATCAACACAGGAGTTTTGACTCACTCTGTTTCTCCTTAGGCAACCTGGTGGTCCCCCGCTCCCGGGAGGTCACCACATTGATGCTGAACTTAGTGCGGACACCCGATCAGCATAGCACACTGCAGCCCAGAATTCCTGGGCTCAAGTGATCCTCCCCCTCAGCCTCCCGAGTGGCTGGGACTACAGGCATGCACCACCATGCCCGGCGATTTTTTTTTTTTTTTTAGATAAAGTCTCACTCTGTTACCCAGGCTGGAGTGCAATGGCATGATCTTCGTTCGCTGGAAGCTTCACCTCCAGGGTTCAAATGATTCCCCTGCCTCAGCCTCCCTAGTAGCTGGGATTACAGGCACCCAGCACCATGCCCAGCTAGTTTTTGCATTTTTAGTTAGAGATGGGGTTTCACCATGTTGGCCAGGCTGGTCTCAAACTCCTGACTTCAAGTGACCCACCGTCCTTGGCCTCCCAAAGTGCTGGGATTAGAGGCGTGAGCCACCGTGCCTGGCCAACAACATGCTATTAAGTAAAAATAGCAGAATACAAAATGGGATGTTCACTGAACACAACTACTTAAAAAGACCTTTTCCTAAGGCAGGGGCGGTGGCTCACACCTATAATCCCAGCACTTTGGGAGGACAAGGCAGGCAGATTACCTGAGGTCAGGAGCTCGAGACCAGTCTGACCAATATGAAGAAATCCCATCTCTACTAAAAATTCAAAATTAGCCAGGTGTGGTGGCACACACCTGCAATCCCAGCTATTTGGGTGGCTGAGGCAGGATAATCGCTTGAACCCATTAGGCAGAGGTCACAGTGAGCTGAGATCACACCATTGCACTACAGCCTGGGCAACGAGAGTGAAATTCCATCTTAAAAAATGCAAAAATTAGCTGGGCGTGGTGGCAGGTGCCTGTAATCCCAGCTACCAGGGAGGCTGAGGCAGGAGAATTGCTTGAACCCAGGAGGCGGAGGTTGCAGTGAGCCAAGTTCATGCCATAGCTCTCCAGCCTGGGCAACAAGATTGAAACTTCATCTAAAAAAAAAACAAAGTGGAGGACAATTTCTTGTCTTAAAAATCTTCAGTGTCTCGCCAGATGGCTCACACCTATAATCCCAGCACTTTAGGATGCTGAGGTGGGAGGATCATTTGAGCTCAGGAGTTAGAGATCAGCCAGGGCAACATGGTGAAACCCCATCTCTACAAGAAACAGAAAAATTAGCCAGGCATGGTGGTGTTTGCCTGTAGTCCCAGCTACTCAGGAGGCTGAGGCAGGAGGATCATTAAGCAGAGGAGGTAAAGGTTGCAGTGAACCGAGGTTGCACCCCCTAGCAGCTGGGACTACAGGCGCCCCCCACCATGCCCAGCTAATTTTTGTATTTTTAGTAGAGACAGGGTTTTACCATATTGGCCAGGTTGCCTCAAACTCCTGACCTTGTGATCCACCCACTTCAGCCTCCCAAAGTGCTGGGATTACAGGCGTGAGCCGCCGTGCCCCACTTTTTTTTCTTTTTTTTTTTGAGACGAAGTCTTACTCCGTCACCCAGCCTGGAGTGCAGTGGCGCCATCTTGGCTCATTGCAGTCTCCACCTCCAGGGTTCCAGTGATTCTCCCACCTCAGCCTCCCAAGTAGCTGGGATTACAGGCACATGCTACCACACCCAGCTAATTTTTGTAATTTTAGTAGAGACAGGGTTTCACCATGTTGCCCAGGCTGGTCTTGAACTTCTGACCTCAAGTGATCCACCAACCTTGGCCTCCCAAAGTGCTAGAATTACAGGCATGAGCCACAGCACCCAGCCTGAATTTTTACTTTAAAAAATTTTTTTTTAGATTTTAATAGAGCCAGGCACAGTGGCTTATGCCTGTAATCCCAACACTTTGGGAGGCTAAGGTGGGAAGAACATTTGAAGCCAGGAGTTCAAGACCAGCGTGGGCAATATAGTGAGACCACCATCTCTACAAAAAACTTTAAAATGTTGGGTTTTGTCTGGCATCCTGGGGGCTGTGATCAGAGTTGTCCAGGAATCCAGGGAGGTGAGGGACCAGAGGGTGGTGAGGACACAGAGAAGGGAGGGAAAACCTAACTCTCAGGCTTCAGTCCCATATCCTTCCCCAGGTCAGGCCCATGCCCTGGCCCCCAACTAGTGGCAGTTGGGAGGTAAAGGTGGGAGGATCGCTTGAGTCTGGGAGTTCTAGGCTACAGTGAGCTGTGATGGAGCCACTGAGCTCCAGCCTGGGCAAAAGAGCGAGAGTGTGACTCAAAACAAAACAAAACAAAAATGAATAATAAAAAATAAATGCTACTGGGCACATGCAGAGCCACACGCATAAGGCTCGACTGGCGTTATGTCCAGACACTGACTTATTCTTCAGCAACCCCAGCTCAGACCTCCCCAGCACCTGCTCAGGAGCTCATTGGCGCTCCGCAGCCGCTGCACCTCGCGCTGGGCGTCCTCGTGGGCCTGCGTGGCGCCATCAGTCTTGTCGCGCAGGCGCTGTAGCTGTTCCTCTAGGGCACGCCGCTCCCCCTCGGTGTCACTAAGCTGCTTCCGCAGGGTGCCCAGCAGGTCCTGACTTGCTTCATAGCGCCCACGCATGTCCTGGGGTGTGGAGAGCAGAGTCTAAGGGAGCCCCGGGAGACCTCCAGAGCTCACCTATTCTCTTCTGGTTCTAGGGATACTCACGCCTATGCTAGGCGGGGTCCAGGGCCTGGGCCTGGCCTGGGGCAGGATAGAACCCTAGGCCTGAGAGCCAGGCTTCCACTCCCCTACTCTGTGCTCTCACCACCCTCTGAGCCCTCACCTCTTTGGGGTCCCAACAACTCCGATGCCAGACAAACCCCCAAGGACACGTCTCCTTGGCTCTGACCCCACCCCCAGGGCTCTCAGGCTCCTCCCCCTTGCATCCTGGTTCCACCCTCAGTCTCCTCCCTACCCTGGCTCTGTCCCTAGTTCCCAAGCTCCTCTCATCCTAGGCTCTGATTCCCCTTGCTAGACCTTTTCCCAGGGTCCTGGCTCTGTATGACCAGGGACCTGTCTCCCCCTCTATCAGGACCCTAACACTGCTCCTCCCTCCACCAGCTGCCCAAACACCTACCCCCAGCTGCCCAAGCACCCCCAGTTCTGGGCTGAGATTCGCCGCAGAGCTCTCGGCCACCTCCTTGGGGGTCCTGACATCCTCAGTCACTATTTCTCCGACCTCTGGCTGCACCCCAGGGCACTGAGACTCCTCCCCCTGACCCAGGCCCCAGACCCGCCCCTGCCTCCGCCCCAACCCGGAGTGCGCGAGCCTCTCCCCCAGGGCCTCTGGCTGAGCCCTGAACGCTCAAGCCCCTTCCTACCTGAACCTGCAGCTGGCGCTTGTGCAGAGCAGAATGGATCAGGGCGAGCGTGGAGGAGTCTGAGAAGGCCGGGGACGGGCCTCGGCGGGGCGAACGGCCGCGGCCCGGCGAGGAGCGCCGCGGTGGGGATGGGGTCCGCTGCCCTGAGAGCCCCCGCAGGCTGCCATCGGATGCATCTGCGGTGCGCTCGGAGCTGCTCAGCTGGACGCCGCTCTCAGCATCGGACAGGACGGCCTGAGGGTAGGGGAGGGAGGTAAAAGGAGGAGGGGAGCCGCGGGGTAGGAACCGCGGGGTTAGCTGGGCAAAGACACCCAGGCAGGGATGGAGGCCGCCTCATCCCAAATGCTCCCTGCTACAAGAAGCCTTCCTGATTTCACCTCCCTCACTAGCTCGGTGCTCAGATTGCCACTGAGGCCTCTCATTTATTGTGAAGACATCATTTGGTGTTGCTCACAGGTGGGCCCGAAAAGTGCCTCCCCGCTGAAACTGGAGGCTTCCCAGGGCAGGGACAGGGTGACCTAGGAGGGGTGCTGAGCAGCTACAGTCTGGGTCCCAGGCTCCCACCCATTTGCGGTTAAGTCCCAGGCCACCAGAAGGCTTGGCAGGAGGTCCGGGACTGCCTGGCAGGGCACTGTCTTCCCACCTCTCTGGGCTCATACCTGTGCCAGGTCCCTTAGGGTCTGCTGCAGCCCCTCTCCATCCTCTGTCTCCAGGGCTGCCTGCTCCTGTAGCCGCAGGGATTCCTGGAGTGTGGGTAGGGAGACAAAGGATGGTCGGGGTTCTGTCTTAGTCTGAAACCTCCCCTTCCCCTTGCTCCCTGGCCGGCCACTGACCAGGTGGCCTCTGAAGCCATACCCATAGGCCAGCCACCTGGTAGACCCCACAGCAGGCCCAAGGCCCTCACTGAATAGACCAGGCCCAGAGAAGAGCTGTGTCCTGCCCCAGGTCACACACACTATTGGAGGAGAGCCAGACCTAGAACCCAGGCCAGGCCCCATGCAGAGGGGTGACCAAGCCAGGCCATACCCTGGAGGAGTGAGTGTCCCATGGGTGGGGGGACAGCTGGCTTGCCAGAGGCAGCATCTGGACCTGGAGAGCACAGGCAGGAGTTTAAGTCCCAACTCTCCCGCTTACTGCCTCAGACTGGACAAGCCTGTCCCCTCTTGGGCCTTAGCTTCCCCATCTGTGCCATGAGGATGATGCTACAGGGCTGCTGAGAGGATGAAATGGGATGGAGGGGGTGAGTGTGCTTTTTTTTTTTTTTTTGAGACAGAGCTTTGATCTGCCGCCCAGGGTGGAGTACAGTGGCGTGATCTCGGCTCACTGCAACTTCTGCCTCCCAGGTTCAAGCAATTCTCCTGCCTCAGCCTCCTGAGTAGCTGGGATTTCAGGCATGCAGCACCACCCCTGACTAATTTTTGTATTTTTAGTAGAGACGGGGTTTCACCATGTTGGCCAGGCTGTTCTCAAACTCCTGACCTTGTGATCTGCCCACCTTGGCCTCCCAAAGTGCTGGGATTACAGGCGAAAGCCACCATACCCAGTGGAGGTGAGTATGCTTACCATGAAGCACACCTGTGAGGGCTGAACCTGAGTGTGAGTGGGATGCTGGGGGTGGCCCAAGGGGCCCAGCCCTAAGCCTGTGTCCATAGATCTGGCTGGTCCCCATTCCACCCTGCCATCTCTCAGGGGCAGCTGCATCTCACCAGTGCCTCAAGCTTCTCGGTGAGGTCCTTGTTGACCTGATCCTTCTCCAGATTCTGCTTCTGAAGACGCTCCACTGCCAGGGCCAGCTCTGTCACTCTGGAGTTGGGGGAGCAACAGAGATGAATGGGGACCACCCCTGCCTCTCAAATCCCCCAGCTCTGTGTCTACCATGCTTCTGCAAACCTGAGGCAGGGACCCTAACATCCACCTCCCTGGCTGTGTGACCTTAGGCAAGTCCATCTCCTCTCCAAGCCTCACACTTCTCATCTGTGATATGGGCATAAGTTTCCCACCAGCTTTCTTTCATGGGAAAGCACTTGAGGACGTGTCCAGGTAGCAGGAGTTCTTTTTTAAAGAGTTCTTTTAAAAAAAAAGAACTTTTAAAACAAGTTCTTTTCTTTTTTTTGAGATGGAATCCCACTCTGCCATCTAGGTTGGAATGCAGTGATATGATCTCAGCTCACTGCAACCTCTGCATCCTGGGTTCAAGCAAGTCTCCTGCCTCAGCCTCCCTCATAGCTAGGATTATAGGCATGCACCATCAGGCCTGGCTAATTTTGTATTTTTAGTAGGGATAGGGTTTCACCTGTTGCCCACACTGGTCTCAAGCTCCTGACCTCAGGTGATCCACCCACCTCAGCCTCCCAAAGTGCTGGGATTATAGGTGTCAGCCACTGTACATTGCCACAAGCTTTGTTATCAGAGGCTAAGCTGTTTATAATATACACCGGACACGTGCCTTTGGAACCTCAGTGGGGTTCCTGGGAAGACTAGCTGAGCTCACAGAGGAAGGCCCTGCCCCTGGTGAACAGATGCTTCCTTCTCCCCAGGTCTCCAGTTTTATCTTCTCAGGGGAGCCTGCCTCAAGTGGCACCCGCCAGGCACCCACCTGGCACTGAGGTCAGCCTTGTCCAGGTCACTTTGCATCTGCTGCTGGGCCAGGTCCTTCTCACGGAGCACCTTGTCCCGTAGCTGCTCCTCCAGCTGGGCCTGTAGCAGGGTCTGCTTCTCCAGGGCTGCTTCGGCCCGGCTCTCTGCCAGCCGCAGCCCTGTGCTCAGTCCCAGGCCCGCCTCCTGGACAGCTCGTGATGTCCGAGCCAGCTCCCCTCCAAGCTGCAGCAGGTCCCTTAGGGAGAGAGCACAGGATGGGGATGGAATGGGGCTGGCTCCCGACTGCAAATTAAAACTACACTGGGGCCAGGTGTGGTGGCTCACACCTATAATCCCAGCACTGTGGGAGGCCGAGGGAGACAGATCATCTGAGTCAGGAGTTCGAGACCAGCCTGGCCAACATGATGAAACCCGATCTCTACAAAAAATACAAAAAATTAGCCACGTGTGGTGGCACACTCCTATAGTCCCAGCTACTTGGGAGGCTAAGGCAGGAGAATTGCTTGAACCCAGGAGGTGGAGGTTGCAGTGAGCTGAGATCATGCCACTGCTCTCCAGTCTGGGTGACAGAGCAAGACTATGTCTCAAAATAAATAAATAATAAAAATAAAAATACACTAGGCTGGGTGCAGTGACATGTACCTGCAGTCAGGTGCTTGTATAAAATAACCCTGGATGGTCACTTAAGGAACTGATAAGCCGGCGGGCACAGTGGCTCACACTTGTAATCCCAGAACTTTGGGAGGCCAAAGTGGGTAGATCACAAAGTCAGGAGTTCAAGACCAGCCTGGCCAATGTGGTGAAACCCCGTCTCCACTAAAAATACAAAAGAAAATTAGCTGGGGGTAGTGGTACATGCCTGTAATCCCAACTGAGGCAGGATTGCTTAAGCCCAGGAGTTTGAGGCCAGCCTGGGAAACACAATGAGACTCCATCTCAAAAACAAAACAGGAATAAAAAGGGGGGAAAAAACCCTATAATGGGATGCCATTTGTCCACTCTCAGATTGGGGGGGGAAAAGGTCACATAATGCACAGGGAGGGGCTCTGGGGTAACAGGCCCTCCCCTACACGGCTGGAGGGAGGGTGAGTACGACCACAACGGAGGGCACTGAGGAAGAGCTCTGAAAACGATGCATGCTTAGGACCTTTCCCACCAGCTCCTCCCCTAAGAAGGTATTCTACAGACAGGTATACCCCAGCACAGAGGACATGACTTGTGGAAAGGAGATTCACTGCAGCATTGCTCATGTAAAACATCCTGGTGACAACCTAAATGTCTATGAAAAGGGGACTGCTATTAAGTACATGATGGTACATCCATTCAGTGGAAATCCCTGTGGTCAAGAAAAACCAGTGGAGAAGTTCTTCCTGGCCCAAAACAGAGCCACCTCCCAGTTAGAACTATTAGGGGAAGAAAGCATCTTCAAGAACTGTGAAGATGGATTTTACCAGGCATATATACAAAAAACGGTGTGTCGGGGGGTATGATCTGCTTTATTTGCTTGTATAAAATAACCCTGGATGGTCACTTAAGGAACTGATAAGCCGGCGGGCACAGTGGCTCACACTTATAATCCCAGAACTTTGGGAGGCCAAAGTGGGTAGATCACAAAGTCAGGAGTTCAAGACCAGCCTGGCCAATATGGTGAAACCCCGTCTCCACTAAAAATACAAAAGAAAATTAGCTGGGGGTAGTGGTGCATGCCTGTAATCCCAGCTACTTGGTAGGCTGAGGTAGGAGAATTGCTTGAACCCGGGAGGTGGAGGTTGCAGTGAGCCGAGATTGCACTCCAGCCTGGGCAATAGAGTAAGACTCCATCTCAAAATAATAATAATAATAATAATAATAATAAAAGAAACTGATAGGCCAGGTGCCATGGCTCACGCCTGTAAAACCAATACTTTGGGAAGGTGAGGCAGACAGATCACCTGAGATCAGGAGTTCAAGACCAGCCTGGCCAATATGGTAAAACCCTGTCTCTACTAAAAATATAAAAATTAGCTGGGAGTGGTGGCTCATGCCTGTAATCCCGGCTACTTGGAAGACAAAGGTAGGAGAATCGCTTGAACCCTGGAGGTGGAGGTTGCGGTAAGCCAAGATCACACAACTGCACTCCAGCCTGGGAGACAGAGCAAGACTCCATACCAAAAAGAGACTGATAATGTTTCTCATGGTAACTTGGTGGCAAAAAAAAAAAAAGAAATTGTATATATATGTGTGTGTGTGTGTGTGTGTGTGTGTATGCGTGTGTGTACATCTATCTATCACATATATATATATAAAAGAAGCTGATAATCCTGCTTGCCTCCAAGGAGGGAAGGGGAATGTGTGGGGTCAGAGGTGAGAGAGAGGCATGCACCACCATGCCCAGCTCATTTTTTGTATTTTTAGTAGACAGGGTTTCACCATGTGTGTGCCACCACACTGGGCAACAATAGAAAGACTCCATCTCAGAAAAAAAAAGAAAAAACTAAGGCAAGACTATTTGTGACTTTTCTTTTTTTGAGATAGAGTCTCACTGTCACCCAGGCTGGAGTACAGTGGCATGATCTCGGCGCACTGCAACCTCTGCCTCCAGGTTCAAGTGAGTCTTGTGCCTCAGCCTCCCAAGTAGCTGGGATTACAGGCATGTGTCACCACGCCTGGATAATTTTTGTATTTTTAGTAGAGATGGGGTTTTACCATATTGGCTAGGCTAGTCTAGAACTCCTGACCTCAGGTGATCCATCCACCTCGGCCTCCCAAAGTGCTGGGATTACAGGCGTGAGCCACTGTGCCCAGCCTTAACTTCTCTTTAAAATGAGGAGAATAGCTGGGCATGGTGGCTCATGCCTGTAATCCCAGTACTTTGGGAGGCTGAGGCAGGCAGATCACAAGGTCAAGAGATCGAGACCATCCTGGCCAACATGGTGAAACCCCGTCTCTACTAAAAATACAAAAATTAGCTGGGCGTTGTGGCACGAGCCTGTAGTCCCAGCTATTCAGGAGTCTGAAGCAGGAGAATCACTTGAACCCAGGAGGTGGAGGTTGCAGTGAGCTGAGATTGCGTCACTGCACTCCAGCCTGGTGACAGAGCAAGACTCTATCTCCAAAAAAAAAAAGACCAGAATGGTAGCACCTACCACATGCAGTTACAGGCGTGAGCCACTGTACCTGGCCTGTGACATTTATGAGACGTATGGAAAATTTAGACACTGGCTATTTGATGATATTAAGAAAAGATTATTAAACCAGGTGTAGTTGCTCCTGCCTATAATCCCAGCACTTTGGGAGGCCAAGGCAGGAGGATCACTTGGGCTCAGGTGTTCAAGACCAGACTGAGCAACAAAGTGAGACCTAGACTGTATAAGAAATAAAAAGAGGAACGATCCAAGATGGCTGATCGCTAACAGCTCGGGATTGCAGCTCTCAGCGAAAGCGCAGAGAACTAGAGGATGCCACACTTTCAGACAAATTCTGGTCACTCACGGAGCAGAAGATTCCCAGTGGAGGAGCCACACAGGTCCCCAGCGTGACTCTTGTGGCCGGCGCAGCGGTTTCGCCGGCACCTCGGTGCGGCAGCTCTCGGAGCAGAGTAAACAGGGCTGGCTCCCCTTCTGACCGAGGTTTGGAGGACCCACACGGGTCCCCAGCATGACTGCTGAGGCTGGCGCAGCGGTTGTGACGGCACCTCAGCGCAGCAGCTCTCGGCGCAGAGTAAACGAGACTGGTTCCCCTTCTGACCGAGGTTTGGAGCCCCGGGAAGGCAGAGTCGCCTATTACGGACACAAGAAGGAAGCCAGACAGGAGAATCCTGGGCAGAAAAGAACCATCAATCTTAACGCCGCTGTTCTGGCCCTGGGAACTAACAACTTGGACGTCCACTCAAGAGACCTAATCTGAAAGTAGGTAATCTCAAAGACGACAGGAGGATAAATTTACAATGATGGGAAGAAACCAGCATAAAAAGGCTGAGAATACTCAAAATCAGAACGCCTCTCCCTCTAAAGATGATCACAGTTCCACATCAGCAATGGAACAAGGCTTGATGGAGAACGAGCGCATCCCAATAACAGAATCACGCTTCAGGGAATGGATAGTAAGAAACTTCTGTGAGTTGAAAGAACACGTTGTAGCCCAATGTAAAGAAACTAAGAACTTTGAAAAAAGGTTTGACGACATCCTATTGAGAATAGACAACTTAGAGAGGAATATAAGTGAATTAATGGAACTGAAGAATACAATACAGGAACTCCGAGAAGTATGCACAGGTTTAAACACTCAAATTGTTCAAGCAGAAGAAAGGATATCAGAGGTCAAAGTCCAACTTAATGACATAAAACGAGAAGACGAGATTAGAGAAAAAAGGATCAAAAGGAATGAGCAAAGTCTCCAAGAAATGTGGGACTATGTGAAAAGACCAAATTTACGTTTGATAGGTGTACCTGAATGCCACGGAGAGAATGAATCCAAGCTGGAAAATACCCTTCAGGATATTATTCAGGAAAATTTTCCTAAACTAGCAAAGCAGGTCAATATTCAACCCCAGGTAATACAGAGAACACCACAAAGATATTCCTCAAGAAGAGCAACCCAAGGCACATAACCGTTAGATTCACCAGGGTTGAAACGAAGGAGAAAATACTAAGGGCAGCCAGAGAGAAAGGCCAGGTTACCCATAAAGGCAAGCCAATCAGACTTACAGCAGATCTCTCGGCAGAAACTCTACAAGCCAGAAGAGAGTTGGGGCCAATATTTGACATCCTCAAAGAACAGAACCTTCAGCCCAGAATTTCATATCCAGCCAAACTAAGCTTCACAACTGAAGGAAAAATAAAATATTTTATGAACAAGCGAGTACTCAGAGATTTTATTACCACCAGGCCTGCTTTACAAGAGCTTCTGAAAGAAGCATTACACACAGAAAGAAACAACCAGTATTAGCCTTTTGAAAAATATACCAAAAAGTAAAGAGCACCAACATAAAGAAGAATTTACATCAACGAATGGATAAAAAAGCCAGTTAACATCAAATGGCAGTAATCCGAAATTTAAATCGACTAAATCCCCCAATCAAAAGACACAGTCAAAACCCAATGGCATGTTACATCCAGACCTGTTTCACATGCAAGGATACACAAAGACCCAAAACAAAGGGATGGAGAAAGATTTACCAACCAAATGGGAAGCAAAAGTAAATAAATAAATAAATAAAAAGCAGGAGTTGCAATTCTCATAGTGGATAAAATAGATTTTAAAGCAACAAAGATATAGTGGTAAAAGGATCAATGCAACAACAAGAGCTAACGATCCTAACACCCAGATACATAGAGACTTAGATTCAATGAGACAGAAAATTAATAAGGATATCAAGGACTCGAACTCAGATCCGGAACAAGTAAACTTAATAAATATTTATAGAGCTCTCCACTTCAAATACACAAAATATACATTCTTGTCAATACCACATCACACCTACTCATAGGTTTAAATGAAACATCGATTGGCCATTATTAATACCCATTTTTTTTTCAGAATAAAGCAATATTTCCGTTCACCCTCCCTCTTTCTCCCTCTCCTTTACTCATTTTTTTTTCTTTCCTTCTCTCAGAAAAAGAAAAAAAAAAAAGAAATCAACTTGTAAACCTCTAGATCCAGGTCGGCAATGTCTCTCTCATTGCTTGATTTCCTTCCTTCCCTTCCTTCCTCCCTCCCTCCCTTCCTGCCTTCCTCCCTAAAAAAAAAAGAAATAAAAAATTAGCAAGCCTGGTGGCATGTACCTGTGGTCCCAACTGTGCAGGACCTGAGGTAGGAGGATCACTTGAGACCAGGAGGTCGAGGCTGTAGTGAGTCATAAGGAAAAGAAAAGATCACTAACTAGAAAGTTGTTAATGTACCAAATGAAACACCTTGGCCTCCTGCCTTGGGGCTCTCTCTGCAGCCTCCCGAACACCGTTGTTGAGCTGACAGCTCACACCAATCAGACACTCCTGCTCAAGGATCAGGCAGGCCCCAGCTCCCCACTGAGGCAGGCTCTCCCTTCCCCGCAGCGGCTATTCATTGCAACCCCTCCAGCTGCCATGGGCTCCCACCTCCATGCCTTTGCTCCAGCCGTTGCTTCTGCTTGGTGTGCTTGCTGCTCTGCTTCAACCCTATCCATCCCTTGAGGCTCTGTACAACTTCCATCTCCTCCACAGAGGTTTTTCTGATATCCCCACCCCTCCCATCCTCCTGAGCCTCCAGGACTTGTCCTACTTACATATCACTGACCACTTGCTTCCTCAGTCTAGAATTTGGGGGATCTATGTCTTTTCATCACTATGTCTTTTCATCACTAGGCCCTTGGTAGCAAGCTGAATATTCCAGTGGATTAAAATCAGGAAATTCAAACTCTGACTCAGCTGCTTGTGTACTACTGTGTGCCCTCAGGAAGATCACTCAACCTCTCTGTGCCTCAATGGCCTCATCTGTAAAATGGGGATGATCACAGTTCCTACCTCACAGGGTCACTGTGAATATTAGTTGAAATGAAATATACAAAGAGCCTAGCTCCGAGTAAACATCTTACAAATACTGACTGACACAATTGTGGTAACGGTTAATCATTAAAAGTTTGCCTCTGTCTTCACAGGCCCTTGTACACAGTAGGTGCCTTGAATTGAGCTGGATGCAAAGAACAGGGCTGGCTCTCAGCTGCTGCCCCATCCCCAGCCAGGCCTCACCTCTCAGTGGACATCTTCACCTCGCTGACCAGCCGCCGGAACCCCAACACCTGCCTCCAGAGCAGGAGCAGGCGACTGTGCTCATTGCTGAAATAGGCGTTGAAGGACTAGAGGGAAGACATGGCAAGGGAGGGGTTGGGATAAGAGCGAGTTTACTCCCTCCCCCAGTTTCCCCCATCTCTGACCATCCTGGGAGGCACCATCATTCAGGGAGTGCGTCTTCCTGCCTGTGCACAGAGCTGTGTCGCAGAGGCCATGCTCAGCCTCCCAAGCCTCACAGCTCCCTCCTGCACAGAGACCTCAGTTTCAAGTCCTCTCTTGGCTGCAAGAGGCAGCAAGGAAGGGCAAAGATGCAGGGGACCTAGCTTTGCATCCCAGCTGCCAGCTGCATGACTGTAGGCAGGTTACTTAACCTCTATTTATTTATTTTTGAGACAGGGTCTTACTCTGTTGCCCAGGCTGGAGTGCAGTGGCACGATCTCTCAGCCTCCCGAGTAGCTGGGATTACAGGCGCACACCACCACGCCCGGCTAATTTTTGTATTTTTGGTAGAGATGGGGTTTCACCATGTTGGCCAGGCTGGTCTCCAACTCTTGACTTCAGGTTATCGGCTCACCTCAGCCTCCAAAAGTACTGGGATTATAGGCGGGAGCCACCATGCCTGGCCTTAACCTCTCTTTAAAATGAGAATAGGTCAGGGGCGGTGGCTCACACCTGTAATCCCAGCACTTTGGGAGGGCAGGGCGGGTGGAACATGAGGTCAGGGGTTCAGGGGTCACCAGCTTGGTCAACATGGTGAAACTCCATCTCTACTAAAAATACAAAAATTAGGGCTGGGCATGGTGGTTCACACCTGTAATCCAAGCACTTTGGAGGCCAAGGTGGGCGGATCACCTGAGGTCGGGAGTTCAAGACCAGCCTGACCAACATGGTGAAACCCCATCTTTATTTAAAAAAAAATTAGCCAGGCGTGGTGATGGGCACCTGTAGTCCCAGCTGCTTGGGAGGCTGAGGCAGGAGAATCGCTTGAACCCGGGAGGCAGTGGTTGCAGTGAGCCAAGACTGCGCCATTGCACTCCAGCCTGGGTGACAGAGCAAGACTCTGTCTCAAAAAATAAAATAAAATAAGGAGAATGATAGCACCTACCACATGCAGTTATCATGAGGAATAAAGGTAAATGCACACGATGCACATAGTACATGCTACGCATTGATAAAGACCAGCTGTTGTGATGATGGCTATTCACTTCTGCTAACGTGCTACCCTGTACAGTGCTCCCTCTCCTTCTCCAGCTTCTGAGTGCTCCCTCCTCTGCAGGGCCCCTTCCCCTTGGGTCAAGCTGGCCTCCCTGCACCCCCATGCCCACCTCCTGCTCGCGCCTCCATGCGGCCTCCCGCTGCTCCAGCTCCTTGCAGCTTCGTGTCCAGTCACTGGTCACCTTTCGTATGTCCTCACTCAGAGCCTGGTTGGCCGAGCCTGCCTGGTCCAGCTGCTCTCGGAGCATGGCATTCACCTGGGCCAGGCTGGCACTCCTGAATGGGGCCCAGGGGATCAGTAGGCGGTCGCCAGGGGGGTTTGGGGGGCCATCCTGTCAGCCCTGGCCCTCCTTGCTGTACCCTTACCTATGCTGCTCCTCCTCCAGCCGGATGAGGGCGCGCTCCAGGTCTTGGCTGTGCTCTGTTTCCTGGGTGAAAGGGAGGTTAAAGCATCAGGCTGGGCAGGTGGAGGGCAGGGTCTGCCGCTGGCCCACCCTGGCACCCACCCTCAGCCGCTGCTGCTCCAGCTCTCCGGATCTCTCCAGCAGCTGCTGCTCCAGCTCCGAGCACCTCTTCTTGTATTGGAGAATCTGGGGATGGGGGAGCTGATGAGCCCCAGGGGTGGGGGCAGGGCAAAGTTGAACATGTGGAAGGGCAGGAGCGGAGTGGGTGGCCCTGACCTTGGCCTGCAGCCGCTGCACAAGCTGGGCCTGCCGCTGTTGGCCCTCCTGGTAGGCCTGCAGCTTGCGCCGGTAGGAGGCCTGCTCCTCCTGCAGCTGCCTCCTCAACTCCACGCTCTGCCGTACCAGCCCCCTGGGCTCCTGTGTCTCCAGCTCCCCAGACTCCAGCCGCACAGCCTGCTCCAGCTGCAGGGAAGGGCCATGGTGAGGGTCCTGGGCCTCCTGGAAAGGCAGGCTCAGGCCTCTGTAGGGGGCGCCAGGCTGGGGCCAGACCCACAATGCCTTGTAGGCTAATAGCCTGGCACCCTGGGGAGCAGGCACAAGTGGGCAAGCCCAGGTACAGTGCACGTGTGCATGGGGTAATGCAGCCCTGCATAGACATGCAGATGGGACATGCATGGACACATGTAGGTGAGCCCACAAACCCAAACCATGCATGCAAAGCTCAAAGGTGCACCTGGGGTCAACTCTGGGGCTCAGGACACCGCAGGCTCTCCTTCAGAACACTGAGCCCTGTCATGGTTTCTGTTGGTTACATTGATGCCTGTGTCTCCCCACCCCACCCCCATCCCAGTGTGAGCTCAGGGAAGCCTGGATTTTTTGTTCCTCATTGCATCTTAGTACTAGAATGGTGGCTGTGGTATGGCATGGCTCATGCTCCATAAATATTTGTTGAGATAGTGAATTAATGGCATGAGCTCATGAGAATACATTCAAAACAGAGGCGTCAATCCGGCTATGCATATCTGAGCTTAAAGATATGCACACACGTAACACATCCAGGCAACCTCAAACACGGACACAGATGAACCCCCTCATATCCACAGCATTAAGATTTGTAAGAACTGCACACAGATGTTCCCCTATACAGCACCTGCATATTAAGCCCCCTTCTGGCTGGACGCTGTGGCTCATGCCTATAATCCCAGCACTGTGGGAGGCCAAGGTGGGTAGATCACGGGGTCCAGAGATCGAGACCATCCTGGCCAATATGATGAAACCCCATCTCTACTAAAAATACAAAAATTATTCCACAGAAACTGGATAACCAGGTTAAAAAAAAAAAGAAAAAGAAAGAAAATACAAAAATTAGCTGGGGGCTTGGTGGTGACCACCTGTAATCCCAGCTACTTGGGAGGCTGAGGCAGGAGAATCCCTTGAATCAGGGAGTCGAAGTTTGCAGTGAGCCAAGATCGCCCCACAGCACTCCAGCCTGGTGATAGGGTGAGACTCCGTCTCAAAAAAAAAAAAAAAAAAAAAAATTAGCCAGGTGTGGTGGCACGCACCTGAAATCCCAGTTACTCTGGAGGCTGAGACAGGAAAATTGCTTGAACCTGGGAGGTGGGGGTTGCAGTGAGCCGAGATCACGCCACTGCACTCCAGTCTGGGTGACAGAGCAAGACTCCATCCTAAAAAAACAAAGGCCCCCTTTGTCCTCACCTCACCAAAGCCTCTGCTGCTGCTGCCCTTCCTCCACCCCCAGGCAGCTTGTAGCCCCTGCATCCTCAGACCCCTGTGGGTTCTGGCTGCCCCTACTAGCCATGGAACCCTCACAACTCCCTTAAGGCACCTGCTGGTCCCAGGTGGCCCCTCATCTTCCCCAGCTGTTGGGGAGAAGGCAGGTGAGGGAGGAGCAGGGCAGTGTGAGAGCACAGAGCGGGTCGGGGGCACCCAAGAGCGACAACACCCCAGCCCAGCTGACTCTAATGCTAACGCCGTACTCACCATCCACATCCTCAGGACCTAGCCTGCTACAGCCTGGACAAGCCATTCACAAGCCCACCAGTGCAGGGCCACGCCAGCCACAGGAAGCCAGTAGGAGGGGCAGCTCCTCTCACCCACGCTCATCTTGGGTCCAGGCCAGGTTAGCAGTAGGGAAGGTGCTCCCCAGGCCTGCACTGATCCCATATGCCCAGAGATGCTCTATGAGCCACAGACAAAGCAAGGACACCTCTACCCACCCGACCTTGGGGAAACATGCACAGCCACCAATAGGGAGGAGCTGACTGTGACTACTTGGGGGCTTCCCCCTGCATCTGGAGGAACACAGTCCAGGGGTGTGCAGGGGAGGTGGAAGAGGGGGTTTCTGCCTGGATGACGACTGCAGGCCCACCAAGTGTCTGTGCCAAGCCCACTGACGTCAGTGGTGCAGTGTCCACATCTGTGTGTGGTGGCCGTGGCCTGGAGCAGCCACACACAGATGTGGACACATGTGGAGACGCAGGACCCTGCGTGTGTCCGTGTGTGGGTGCTGAGTTCACACCGACGGTATGGTGCATCTGGGCCTTCCCATGAACAGGTAAGCATGGCATCTGTGGCTGCAGGTCTGTGTTGTAGTGTGACTGTTGGGCCCATCTGTGCGTGTCGGGAAGGCAAGTGCACAACTGGACATGGGTGGGTCTGGGAGTGTGCGGGGACTCCCTGGTATGTGTGATACACACTTTATGCCTCTGGACATACCTCTGTGGGCCGACTGATGGCCATGTTGAACTATATGCTTCTTCTGTCCATGTGCATCCATGAGGCGGCAGACAGCGTGCAGTGTCATCTGCATATGGGTGTTAGGGGTCCCCGGTGGTGGTGTGAGTGTTCTGTGCCTGTGTAGGATTGTGTAGCCTCTGGCTATGGGTACAGGTTATGCTGCGCATATTCTGTGATTTGGAGTTTCTGTGTGGCCTGGTTTTAGGGGTGTCATTATGGGGGTTGTGTGGCATCTGGCTGTAGTTGCAGGTTAGGCTGGACATATTCTGTGAACTGGAGTTTCTGTGTGGCCCGGTTTTAGGGTCTCATTATGTTGTTTGTGGAATGTTTTGTGCATCTGTGTCTCTGTGTGGGGCCCGGTGTGGCTGTGTTGTGTACACACTCCACATCTGTGTGAAGCAGGTGCTGTTTGCCTGTGGGACACAGAGAGGTTCAGGCCGTTGCTGGGTTCTCCTCCACCTTCAATGCTCAGAACCAGAGCCAGGACCCTCTCGGCCACACCTCACCCCTTTCCACAAACTTCGCCCCACACAAAACAGCCTTTCAATTTTACTTGCAATTCAAAAGGGAAGGAGGCTGCTACTAAACCAGAGATGAAAGAAGTTGACTGTCTCCCCTAGCAACCGCTGCCCTCAGACTGCCATTTAATTACTCTTTCCAGGTTGCTATGGACACGAGGGAGCCCAGGGGGTCTGTCCTCCAGAGCCAAGGGAGGCGTGGCCACTCCCTCCTTTCCATTCCCAGCTGTGCCTACACCTGCTTCTCAGGGACAGCAAGAAGTGAGGGCCCCCATGGGGGCCCTCAGGTCCTCTCTCTTGGCTGAGAGGTGGCCTCTGGGAGTGCCTCAGTTTCCCTTCAGGATAGGCAGTCAACAGGACACAGACCTGACCCTCCCGCTACTCCCCACGCCAGAGGTGCTGCAGGGTTGGAAAGATCAGAACAATCTTGCTGACTGCCCCCCAACCCAGCCCATCATGCTAGTGAGGGCCACACTAGCATGCCACCTGTGGCCACAGGGACAAGGGGGTGGCAGGGAGAGAGAATGTTGCCCAACTGCAGAGCCCAGGACCAAGCGTCTCGTCCCAGCACTACCACTGACCTTGGGCCCATCACGCCCCCTCTCCGGGCCTTACTTTTCCTGTATGTGATAAGGTGGTCTCCAGGCTCTGGAGTGCTCTGGGACCTGCCCTCCAGGAAAGGCCTTTGAGGTCAGTCCTGTTCCACCCGTGCCTCCAGGTGGGGCCTCAGCTGGTGGATGGAGGACAGCTGAACCAGCAGGAATCCATTGCCTGCCATTTGGGTCCCCCTAGCCGCAGGAGGGAGCTTTCCAGACTCACCCACATCCCTGTGCTACAGTCCCAGCCCTGCAGTGGTGTCCCAGCAGAGGAGGGACCTGCCACCTCCCACCTCTTCCCTTCCCTGCCAACCTGAGGGCAGGACTGGCTTCAGAAGGTGGGATTTAAGAGGCAGCCCCTGGGGGTATGGCATTGTGCCATGGGCCGAAAGAAAATCGGGGGAATGGTTCTGGGCCCCGTCACCACTGACAATGTAGGACTGGAGCCAGCATGCCCTACACACCCCCTGCAGACCCTGGGAAAGCTAGCTCTCCACTGTCCTGATGTTAGGGCCACTGAGGGCCCCGTACCCTGCTCCTCTACAAGTCCCAGCAAGTCGGGGGCTTGTTCAGGAAGGCAAATCCCAGGACACGGGCACACCCCACAGTCATACACAGGAACACATACTCCTCCTTCCAATACGGGTGTGCGAGTTCTAGCCTAGACAAGCCCAGCTCTGGGGTCCTGTGCTAACCTAACTCTGCCACTACCACACAGATGACCCTGGGCCAGCCCCTGCCTCTCTGGGTCCTTTCCAACTTAGCAGGGGCCAGGTGTGCCCTGAAATCCCTAGCCCAATGTCTGTCACCATATGCAAGAAACAAAACTTCAGAACTTTGTTTCTAGACTGGGTTAGTCTGGAAACCAAACAGCCCTGGGCTGGGAGTTAGGAGACCCGGTGTCTAGCCTTAACTGGCTGTGTGTTCCCAGCACGGTGCTTCCCTTCCCTGAGCCTCCGTTTTTCTCTTCTGTTAAATGGGCATCATAATGGTCCCAACCTTGGTGCATTAAATGTGAAACACTCAGCACGTGCCTGGCACATAGTAGGGACTCAACAAACAGTAGCCACTATTAATACGTTATTGCCACCTGCATGCCTCCCATCTTCACACACACACTCTGTCCCTCTTGCAACTCCCTTACCAATCTTCAGCCACCACCAATTTCCCAGAGTCACCTCCTGGCCACCTGGAGGCCCAAAGCAGACAGTGCGTCAAGAGCATCTTGCACCCCTGGCACTGGCCCACACCCAGCTCCCGCCCCGGGCCCTGGGACCCCACAAGCCTACAGCACGGGTGATGTGAATGCTGCCTGGAAACAAAGACAGGCCTGCTTCTCCTTCCTTCCCTGCCTGGAATTCACTCCAGTGGGCAGTGACAGCAGGTCTTGTGGCTGCCCCAGATGGCCTCTGGAACACTGGGTGCCCACATCAGCCTCGAGCCAGCATCCAGCCACCCCCTCAACCCCAAGGCCCGTGGCAATGGTAGCACAGGGAGATGCCCAGAAACTCAAGGGGTAGGGGTCTCTAGGGATCTCGTTCTCTATGCCCTGTATCCCTAACAGGCCTGGGACAGACGGGAACAAAATGCCCCTGATGCCAGGCACTTTATTCTATTATCTCCTTGATTCCCACAACTCCACGTCCCATTACCATCTCCACTACAGAAAACAGGCTCCAAGAGTGATTTGCTCAACACCACTCAAGGTGGCAGTGCCTCAATCCAAGCCCAGGCCAACCGGACTCCAGGGCCCATCTTTTGCCCTGTGCGTGGGCCTGGTCTAGATGCCTCCCTGCCCTCGAAGCAGGGGAACCCTGGCCCAGTCCACCACCCGGGCAGCACGCACCCTCTCGCTGACCGCGTTGTACTTAATGGCGAGCTCGTCGCGCTCGGCGCGGCTCTGGGCCAGCAGGTCCTCCACGCGGGACAGCTCCTGCTGCAGCAGCTGATTCTCCTCCTGCAGTGACAGCAGCGATGCCATCTCTGTGGCCGGCAGCAGGACTGGCAAGGGACAGTGGGCACATGGTTGGCTTCTGGGTCCAGTGGGACATCCTCCCCCCATGGAACCCCACTCATTGCTCAGGACAAGAAAACCATCCAGGCCCCTCGGAGGAGCCTGGTGGGAATGGCCACAACACCAGGCCTGCAAACAGAGCTTAAGAATGGAGGAAGACAAAGAGGGGACCCAGAGCTGGATGCAAAGTGGACCCAACTCCAGCTGTGTGGCCCAGCAGGTTCGGGAGGTACAGGAGAGAGACTCAGTCTAGGAGTCAGGAGACTCCTGAGTTCTTGCTCCCTCCTTCTCCAATTACTATTCCTTTCCAGGTCTCAGTTTTGCTTATTTGTAAAATGGGTGGACCAGGCTCAGTGACTCATGCCTGTAATCCCAGCACTTTGGGAGGCCAAGATGGGCAGATCACCTGATGTCAGGAGTTTGAGACCAGCCTGGCCAACATGGTGAAGCCCAGTCTCTACTAAAAATACAAAAATTAGCCAGGCATGGTGGTGCATGCCTGTAATCCCAGCTACTTGGGAGGCTAAGGCAGAAGAATCGCTTGAACCCAGGAGGCAGAGGTTGCAGTGAGTCAAGATCGCACCACTGCACTCCAGTCTGGACAACAGAGTGAGACTCTGTCTCAAAAAAAAAAAAAAAAGCGGGGGTAGAATAGTAACCAGATCCTCCCAGAAAAGCATCAAAGCCTCGCTCAAGGGAAGGGCTTCATGGAACTTTTAAGGCTAGGGCTCAAGATAGCATAGGTCAGGATGTGAGGAGAAAGAGAGAAGAGGGAAAGAAAGGCCAGCGGGAGAAGCAGGGTTGTCCACCTCTTGTGGGCTCCCCTTCTACCCTGGGAGAATGGGACACACGCCCCAGGTGTCAGGGTGAGGACCCTCTAAGTCCCTCCCTGTCTGGGGCTCTAGGGTGCCAACATCCCTGGTGCTCTCAAGGAGAGCGCCCATCTGTAGCTTGGTAGTTGAACAGGGACAATGGTTAGAGCACCGAAACGCCATCACAGAGAGCTGCCAGCACACCAGCTACGACTGAGTGTGCCCCTCCCAGACCCTCAAGCCACATAATGACACCATGTGTGCCACCACCGAGAGGAACAGGGACCATCCGTCTTCCTGCCCACGTGGAAAATGAATGGACAGCACCATCCCCTCAGACTTCTGCAAAACCCTGGTCTGAGCTGAGCTGCCCTCTCCCTATATCTTGGGTTTAGCCAGCTCATGCCTTCCCCAGGAGGGAACACAGGATTTGGGGTTCATGTCTTTGCAGCAAGCTACAGGTGAGCATGGAGAGGATGCTCCCCTTCCTTCTAGCTGCACCACATGCGGAATAAGTCTGGGCAAGTTTCGTCCCTGAGCCTCCATTTCCTCATCTGTAAAACGGGTTCTTCTGTCATCAGGTTGTGCCTGCCCCACAGCAAGTATTCCAGAAACGGAAGCTACAGTCATGATCATCATGGTGACTGCTCAGAAAAGGGATGTGTGAAGAGGTGAAATGTGGTGGTGTCTGTGGAGAGGAGCGGATGGGGCTGGCACCTGGGCTCTCAGGCCGAGAGAGGTTGCGAGTGACAATCTCCCTGATGCGGGCAGGCAGGCTGGTGGTCTGAGCGTCCTGGGCCAGGTCCCGTGCCCCTGAACCCTTCTCCTGGCACAGGACGCTGCTCTCCAGTGTCTGTGGAAAAAGCAAGAGGATCTTCAGGGGACCCGGGACACAGGGCTCCCTGGCCTTGAAGGGAGAGCCACAAAGTCCTACTGCCCAAGATACGGGTCCCAGGAGCCCCCTTAAGATGGAGCGAAGCCTGGAGATAATCCAAAAAGTCCCCATGGGGGGAGCCTCCTGTGTGCTCCCTGCCCCTGGAAGACCACCCAGAGCGAGTGGTCAACCCCAAACCCACGGGCAACCCCAAACCCTACTGGAGGCAGTCCAGTGTTGGGGGCTCCAATCCGGCTCTGACCCTAGATGGAGGAGGATCCAGCTATGTCAGAGTTCCCCCGAACCCTAAAATCTGGAAGTAGGGACCCCCTTCTCCCCATGCAGGGCACTGGGATGAGGAAGCCACAGCAGGTGCACCCTGTGTTCCCCTCTGCCCCCCATCTTGCCAAAAGCTGCAAGTGGGGGCCCCATATAGCCCCCAACCACCACACTTCTCCCACCCTTGATCCCCAAGATGCACACACCTCTCACCACTCCTGCTAAGTCCACGCTACAGTCCCGGACAGGGTGGGCACAGCCCTCAGGACGCACCTGGATAACCGTCTCTAGTGTCAGCTCGGCCTCCTGTGCCCTCGCCAGTCCCAAGCTCATGGAGGGGACACTGTGGGCACCCCCAGCCCCCTTCTCCAGGACTCCAAGACTAGCTCAGTCAGCATTCCCCATAGCCAGGCTGCTGTGCTGAGCACCAGGCGGATTAAGCTTAAATCCGGCAGCGCCCCCATGTGACCACAGCGGTGGGAGGAGCAGGATGGGGACTGAGAGGGAGGGGATGGGAAAAGACAAGGGGAGGGAAGCAGAGGCAGGGGTGGGGGTGAGGGGGCGGAGGAGCTGAAGGAAGAGGAAGGATGAAGGAGAGGGGAATGTACCCGAAAACCTAAAATGCAATAAAAAAAAAAAAGAGAGGGGACGGACGGGAGAGAAAGGGAGAGAGAAGAACAGGGAATGGGGGGAGGCAAGGAGGGGAGGCACCTGGAGGTCAGGACCTCACACTCTCGCCACCTTCTGCAGGTTGCTGGGTCCTAGAGCCCTCCAAGCCCTAGCGGGTGGGGTCAGTAGCCATGCAGTGGGAAAGTCCAGAGTCCTGCCTTCGGGACTAACTTTGCTGGCCCAGGATGGGGGCCACATGGTTAGCTAAGAATTCGAGGATTTGCAGCATGCTGGGAGTATATTTTCCCAAAACAGGTTCAGGGCAAAGAAAGCAGGCTGTGAGATCACCCAGACCAGGCTAGGAACTTGGGTGGGCATGAGCGGTCCAGCCTGGACTGATGAGCATCTATGCAACACCTGTGGCATTCCTAGGTCTGACCTAGACACAGTGGTAGAGTCTGGAAGCGCAAATGCCCCAGCCTTGCCCTTTAGGCACTTACTCACCCCAGTCCCCACTAGCTGGGTGCACTAGGGACAGTGACTTTGCCTCTCTGAGCTCAGTGTCCTCTTACGTAAGTTGTGATAATATTGGAGTTGTCCAGGAATTAATCAAAATATCGTGTGTGCATAATCAGAAATACTCATTTCATTCATTTGAAAACCCAAAAGGCACAGTCCCGGTTGGGTGCCATGGCTCATGCCTGTCATCCCAACACTTTGGGAGGCCAAGACGGGTGGATCACTGAGGTCAGGAGTTCGAGACCAGCCTGACCAAAATGGTGAAACCCTGTCTTTACTAAAAACACAAAAATTAGCCGAGCATGGTGGCGCATGCCTATAATGCCTGATACTGAGATCTGGGAAGCTGAGGCAAGAGAATTGCTAGAACCCAGGAGGCGGAGGTTGCAGTGAGCCAATATTGTGCCATTGCACTCCAGCCTGGGCAACGAGAGGGAAACTTCGTCTCAAAAAAACAAAACAAAACACACCCACACAAAAGGCACAGTCCCTATATCCCAGAGTCCTGACACCCAGAGGTCACTGACCACCTCCCACTGTTCCTTCCCTGGGGCAAGGAGGCTATGTGGTGTAGTGGTTAGGCCCACAGCTCTGGCGTCAGTATCAGGTCTGAGATTGCATGTGAGACACAGCACTGTCACTTGCAACCACGGTATGACTTTGAATAAGTTACCTCTCTGAGCCTCAGTTTTCTCATCTCTAAAAGGAAACTAGACCAGGCCGGGCACAGTGGCTCATGCCTGTTAATTCCAGCAGTTTGGGAGGCTGAGGTGAGTGGATCACTTGAGGTCAGGAGTTCAGACCAGCCTGGCCAATGTGGTGAAACCCCATCTCTACTAAAAACACAAAAACTAGCTGGGCATGGTGGCAACGTGCCTGCAGTCCCAGCTACTTGGGAGGCTGAGGCAGGAGAATTGCTTGAACCTAGGAGGCAGAAGTTGTAGTGAGCCGAGTTTGCACCACTGTACTCCAGCCTGGTGACAAGCGAGACTTCATCTCAAAAAAAAAAAATACAAAAATTAGCCAGGGCATAGTGGCATGCACATGTAGTCCCAGCTACTAGGGAGGCTGAGGCAGGAGAATCACTTGAACACAGGAGGAGGAGGTTGCAGTGAGCCAAATTGTGCCACAGCACTCCAGCCTGAGTGACAGAGCAAGAATCTGCCAAAATTAAATAAAACAAGACTAGACCAGGCATGATGGTTCAGGTCTATAATCCCAGCACTTTGGGAGGCCAAGAAGGGAGGATCACTTGAGTCCAGGAGTTTGAGACCAGCCTGGGCAAAATAGAGAGACCCTGTCCTACCAAAAATAACAACAAAAAAATGAGACTAATAGCACCTACCAGGCCTGGCGAGTGGTGAGCTATTGGTCAATGGTGGCCGCTGTTCCCGTCTTCATTAGCATCACGTATGGGGTCCTGCTATCTCAGCCCATGGCCTCTGGGTGCCCTCTGCTCTGTGCTGTGCCCCAAAGTGGGGATATTCACATTATCTCACTAAATCCTTACTTCAACCCATTTCCAGATGAGACAACTGAGCCTCAGAGAGATTGCGGCTCTCACCTATTCAAGGTGACATGTTTCAGGAAAGTGGTGAGCCCAAAGCTCATTCCTCTTAGACCAGCAGCCTCCCAATAAGTGACTGAAGGGCAAGGCCAGGGCACTTGTGCTTTGAGGCTCTACTACTGTGTCTAGGTCAGACCCAGAATGCCACAGGTGCTGTATAAATGCTCATCAGTCCAGGCTGGACCACTCATGCCCAACTAAGGAACCTGTCCTGCAAATGAAGAACCAAGAAACAGGGCCAAGTTGCAATGGCAAGCAAGCTAGATATGGGCAAAACTAAACCAGCCACTGGCCGGGTGCTATGGCTCACACCTGTAATCCCAACAATTTGGAAGGCCAAGGCAGGTGGATCACTTGAGGTCAGGAGTTCTAGACCAACCTAGGCAACATGGTGAGACCCCATCTCTATTAAAAATACAAAAATTAGCTGGGTGTTGTGGTGGATGCCTGTAATCCCAGCTACTTGGGAGGCTGAGGCACAAGACCACTTGAAACCAGGAGGCAGAAGTTGTAGTGAGACGTGATCACACCACTGCACTCCAGCCTGGGTGACAGAGCGAGACTCTGTCTCAAAAAACAAACTAATTAAACCAGCCAGCCGTGGAGAGCTGCCACTACAAACCCCAGGCACACCCACCCTTCTGCCTCTAGGCAGCCTCCAAAAACCCCCTCTACAGGCTGCACACCTGTCACCAGAGCAGGGGGAAGCCACAAATACCCCTGGGCCAGCATGTCCAGCCCTGCATGGCCGGCTCAGCAGAGGGGGCCACAGATGTCCTTGGGGAACTGAACTGTTTTGTGCCTTCTCCTGACCATGGCCCTGAGGGTTGGGGGAAGGAGACAGGATGTCAGCCCCTGGCACCAGATGACATCTATCCTTGGCTCCATTGCCAAAATTCTCCCCCTAGAGTTCTTCTGGGTTCTGTGGATCCCAAGAAGTCACATCTGAAACCTGTGTATGTGTCCACCACTTCCACTCAATTCTCCAAAAACATGACTGAATTCCTCCAGCCCTTCACCAGCTGTGTGAGCCTGCACCAGTGTCTTCACCTTTCTAAGCCCCAGTTTCCTCATTTGCAAAATGAGATAATAATGGTGCCTATTTCTAGCGTGAGTTTTAAATAAAATACTCCATGCTTAGCTATATGCTTGGTATGGTGTGGCAGAAACTGCCATGTGCTCACCACAAAGCATGTCTGATTCCTCTTAGGAATACAGCTAAAAGCCATTTCCCGGCCGAGCGCAGTGGCTAATGCCTGTAATCCCAGCACTTTCGGAGGCCGAGGTGGGTGGATCATGAGATCAAGAGTTTGAGACCATCCTGGCCAACATGGTAAAAACCCATCTCTACTAAAAATACAAAAATTAGCTGGAGGTGGTGGCACGTGCCTATAGTCCCAGCTGTTTGAGAGGCTGAGGCAGAATCGCTTGAACCCTGGGGTCAGAGGTTGCAGTGAGCCGAGATCACACCATTGCACTCCATCCTGGGCTATAGAGCGAGACTCCATCTCAAAAAAATAAAGCTGTTTCCCAGACGCCCTTGCAGTCAGATATGGCCAGGTGGTCAAGTTCTGGTCCATAGAATTACGACAGAAATAATGCGTGCCACTTTAGGCCTGGCCCATAAAATTATTTTTCTCCTTCCTGATCCGTCAGCTGGAAGGACATAACCCCAAGGTCCTAGGGGATGCTGGAATGACAAGACAGAAGGGATCTGGGTCCCTGGGTCACCACATAGAAAGCCACCTGCCAAACACCCAACAGGGATTTTCATGAATGAGAAATAAACTATTGTGCTAAGCCTCTGAGGAGTCAGGGTTTCACAATCACATTAGCTAGTGTTACCTTAATTACTACCTGCAGTTAAACAGCGGGTAACTGTTGGCTATCACTACTGCTATCATTACTATCATGAGTATTATTGGCTCTTTCTAGTACCCAGGCTAGAACCCTGTGCCTAGTCTAGGGGCTGAGCCATTATTTGGTGACAAATACAGAGGAGACACCCTTTGCACACTTCCCTCCACACTGCCACCCTCCAAACCTGCCTTTTGCCAGGGGTAGCGGCGGAACTAGCCAAAAAGCCCCTCAAAGATTACTCGTGAGTTTCAAACATAGCAGCTGCTCTTATCCGCTTACCCTTCTTTATCCTCCTGCTGCTGACTAGAAATTGTGACAAAAATATTGAACCAACCACAAGCCAGGCTCTGTGCCCAAAACCTTACATCTGTTCCTTACCTGCTTCAACATTCCCAGCACCATCCTACCTGCTTCACAGATGACAGCATGAAGTCTCAGCAAAGTTAAATAACTTTCTCCAATGCACCCAGCCACAAAGACCTCAAGTCACAGCTGAGACCTAGATGTACCTGATTCCAAAGGTTTTTGTTTATTTGTTTTGTTTTTGTTAGAGATGGTGTCTCGCTCTATCACCCAGGCTGCAGTGCAGTGGCTCACTGCAACCTACACCTCCCAGGTCCCGGTTCAAGCAATTCTCCTGCCTCAGCCTCCCGAGTAGCTGGGATTTCAGGCATGCACCACCATGCACAGCTAATTTTTGTATTTTTAGTAGAGACAGGGTTTTACCATGTTGGTCAGGCTGGTCTCGAACTCCTGACCGCAGGTAATGCACCTGCATCAGCCTCCCAAAGTGCTGGGATTACAGGCGTGAGCCATTATGCCCAGCCTAGAGTTTTAAATAGTAACAGCAAGCCAGGCACAGTGACTCATGCCTGTGATCCCAACACTTTGGGAGGTGATTGCAGGAGGATTGCTTGAGCCCAAGAGTTCAAGACCAGTCCTGGCAACATAGTGAGACTCCATCGCTATCAAAAAAAACACAAAAGGCCTGGTGCGGTGGCTCACGCCTATAATCCCAGCACTTTGGGAGGCCGAAGCGGGTGGATCACGAGGTCAAGAGATCGAGACCATCCTGGTCAACAAAGTGAAACCCCGTCTCTACTAAAAATACAAAAATTAGCTGGGCATGGTGGCGCCTGCCTGTAGTCCCAGCTACTTGGGAGGCTGAGGCAGGAGATTTGCTTGAACTCAGGAGGCGGAGGTTGCAGTGAGCCGAGATGGCGCCATTGCACTCCAGCCTGGGTAACAAGAGTGAAACGCCATCTCAAAACAAAAAACAGAAAACAAACAAACAAAAAAATACACAAAAAATTGGCCCGGCATGGTGCCATGTACCTCCTGTAGTCCCAGCTCCTTGAGAGGCTGAGGCAAGAGGATTGCTTGAGCCTGGGAGGTTGAGGCTGCAATGAGCTGTCGTTGTGTCACTGCACTCTAGCCTGAGTGACAGAGCAAGACCCTGTTTCAAATGAACAAAAATAGTAACAGCAAGGACTGCCATTCTGCAGCGCCTGCTGTGTGCCTGACACCACCCCAGGACTCCAATGTGCATTATATAAGCCACTCCCCAGACTGCTGAGATTGCTCCCCAAGGGTCTCACTGCTTCCCTGCTGATCCCCCCCAACCCCACCCTATTTTCACACAGTAAAGATTATACCCTTCCCCAGCCCAAACCCCTCTACTGACTCTTATCATACCTAAAATGAAGTTCAAAATCTTGCCATGGCCCAGAGAGTCCACCAGATCTGTCCCCACCCTCTTCTCCCACCTCATCTCCTTTCTCTCCACCCTCAGTCATGGACTTTTCTTTTTCCTTTTTCTTTTTTTTTGAGACGGAGTCTCCCTCTGTTGCCCCAGGCTGGAGCTAGAGTGCACTGGTGCACAATCACGGCTCACTGCAACCTCTGCTTCCTGGGTTCAAGCGATTCTCCTACCTAAGCCTCCCAAGTAGCTGGGATTACAGGCATGCACCACCATGCCCGGCTAAATTTTGTATTTTTAGTAGAGATGAGGTTTCACCACATTGGCCAGGCTGGTCTTGAACTCCTGACCTCAAGTGATCAACCTACCTTGGCCTCCCAAAGTGCTGGGATTACAGGTGTGAATCACCACACCCAACTGTCCATGGCCTTCTTGATTCCTCAAACACAACAGGCATCTCCCACCTCAGCATCTTTGCACTGCCATTTTCTCTGCCTGGGAAACTCTTCCCCCTTCCTTTGCACAGCTGACTCCCAATTGTCAGCCAGATCTTGGCTTAAAAATATCAACTTCTGAGGGAACTACCCCTGACTCCCAGCCAAAGAGGTCCCTCCAGTGGTTGTTCTGTTTTCTCCAACATGTATGTTGCCTGTCTCCTCCTAAGGCAGGGACTGAGTAGGCTTTTTTCTTTTCCTTGGAGACACAGTCTTGCTGTTGCCCAGGCTGGAGTGTGGTGGCAAAATCATGGCTCACTGTAGCCTTGACCTCCTGTCTCAAGGGATCCTCCCACCTCAGCTTCCTAAGTAGCTGGGACCACAGGTGCATGCCACCATGCCTGGTTAGTTTTTTACTTTTTGTAGAGATGAGGTCTCACTGTGTTGCCCGGGCTGGTCTCACACTCCTGAGCTCAAGCAATCCTCCCCTCTCAGCCTCCCAAAGGGCCAGGTTGGCTTAGTTCACTGCCACTTCCACAGTGCATGGCCTAAGGCCAAACCTCCATGAAGTGCTGCTGAATGAATTAATGAATGAACGAATGCTAAGAGCCAAGTAATATAGAGGATGTTATATGGAAAAAGAAATGACTCCCCTTTTCTCTGGCTGGGGTCACATTGGGCCATGGACAGTGTAAGCCACACTGGGATCATGGAAGAACACCAGTGAATACATATCCAGCACCTGCTGCATCCCAGAAGTTCAGGGTGAAAATCAGGCAGTAACCCCCAGAGGCGCCTTCTGGATGGAAAGGGGGCCTCCCCTCCAAGGGCTGAGAGAAAGACTGGGGAGGGGAGGGTTAAGTCAGGTAAATGTGCGCGGTTGGAGAGCCCCGGAGATCCATGGGTTGACTCCTGGAGTCTTGCCTGAACCCCACTGGCCTCTACTCCCGCCGCAAGATCTGTTTATTAAGCACCTGCTGTAAGCCCAGAGAAGGAAAACAGAAATCTCTGTTTTCTGGTGTAAACAGCCAGATGGCACCCTCAAGGCCCACTCTCCAGGGTCCCCATTCTCCAGTCAATTGTCTTCCCGAGGGAGCTGTGACCTGGTCACCAGGGGGCAGACATCTGCCCCTGCATGGTCGTCAGATTTGGGTTTGTGTGAAAATCAGGAGGAAGTTCGTTCAAAATGCCCACTCCAGAGACGCTGCCGGGCACAGGGGCCTGAGGTCCCATGGTGACAGGCGCAAGTGGTGCGGGGCCCCATCCCCACACAGCCTCCGGCAGCCCTGCCTCCGTGGCTAGCCCAACTGCGCGCTGTGGGTCTCAGTTTCCCCATTTGCACAATGCAGATGCTTCTGAGTCGGCAGAGCTGCAATGAAGACGAAACCGCGTCCCACACGAGGAGGGCAGTGCAGGGCCGGGCCCGCACGCAGGAGCTGAAGGGGTATCTGCGGGGGGCAGCAGCCGTCTGGAGGGCCTCCCACGGCCGCCGGCTGAGCGAGGCTACCCTGGCTGGTGGAGGGACGGTAGCGCCCTGCAGGCCGCTGCGCCCAGGCAGGCCCCGGCCCCCAGTCGCGCCCCCGGCCCGCGACAATCCGGGCAGGATGCGCAGCAGGACGCGGCGGGACATCCAGAGACCGTCAGGCACGCTCTCCTGGCCTCCGGGGCAGGGCGTGCTGCGCCCAGCACCCCCAGCCCCGGTGAGCGGCTCCAGCCCGCCCCCAGGCGCGCGGCCTTCTCTGCCGGGAGCGCGTCCGTCCCGCCCCCGCGCACGCGCGCGTCACCGGCCTCCTACCTTCGCGCGCCTTCGCCGCAGAGACTGCCGCCGAGGCCGAGCGGGCCGAACCGGGCGGGCGGGGCGGAGCGTCCCCGCCATAGGGCGGGAGGAACCGGGGGCGGAGCCTGCGCCGCGCGGGAGTTGGGCGGGGACAGGGGGCGGGGCGGAGGCTGGGGGCGGGGCGGGCGCCGGGGGCCGCGCGTCTGCAGCACTCACAGGGGCTGCCACTGGAGGACGAGCCTCGTGCGCCCTATCGCCTTCCTCTCCTCACCTCCCGGCAAGCCAGGCGCCTCCTGCACTCTCTAATGAGGATTCAAGACGAACGAAGCACGAGGCTCACGCTTCGCAGTTGCAAGGCCGCGGCGCAATATCGAAACCTCGACCCGGGCCGGGCATGGTGGCTCACGCCTGTTATCCCAGCACTTTGGGAGGCCAAGGCGGTTGGATCACGAGGTCAGGAGTTAAAGACCAGCCTGGCCAACAAGGTGAAACTCCGTCTCTACTAAAAATAGAAAAATTAGCTGGGCATGGTGGCGTGCGCCTGTAATCCCAGCTACTCGGGAGGCTGAGACAGGAGAATTGCTTGAACCGGGACCTGAAAGGTGGAGGTTGCAGTGAGCTGAGATTGCGCCACTGCACTCCAGCCTGGGCTACAGAGCGAGACTCCGTCTCAAAAACAAAATAAACCCCGACCCGGCTGCAGAGTCCCCCTGCGGTCTGGCTGGGCCTTAAAGGCCTGAAACTCCTGAGCGCTGACTCGTCGCCCAGGCAGACGGAGGAGGGGTACGCCCAGCTCTGTCACACACCCCCAGCGGCTATCCTGAGGTTTCGGTGATTTGACCCGTTGGGGAGAATGACTTTGTTTTCCTGACTGACGTGCAGCCCTTGGGGAAGGCACTCTGGCCTGTTGGTTCGCCTGTAAAATGTGCTACCGCATCTGCGGCCGTCCCTTCCCGCAGGCTATGGCTTCCCCGAGATGGGATGAAGCTAAGACCAGAGAGGGAACGGTGCTTTGAGACTCAACCCAGCAGTGCGCCTGTCTCTTGTCCTTTCCACTGTAACATTATGTTCGTTCTACCCCCTCACTGGACTTCGACCTCCCTCTGTTCTTGAAGGCAGTTGACGAAATCGTTCGTTTTTTTTTTTGGTTTTTTTTTTTTTGAGACGTAGTCTCGCTCTGTCGCCCAGGCTGGAGTGCAGTAGCCTGATCTCAGCTCACTGCAATCTCCGCTTCCCGGGTTCAAGCAATTCTTCTGCCTCCACCTCCCGAGTAGCTGGGCCTACAGGTGCCCACCACCAAGCCTGGCTAACTTCTGTATTTTTAGTAGAGACGAGTTTCACCATTTGGCCAGGCTGGTCTCAAACCCCTGACCTAGTGATCCGCCTGCCTTGGCCTCCCAAAGTGCTGGGATTACAGGCATGAGCCACCATGCCTGGCTGAAATCATTCGTTTTCAAAGGGAGCGGCAGCTCTGAATCCCCAGGACTGAGGGAGGGATGTGTTTGGTTTGAAAAAGTATGTTTAGTGTAATGATTTTGTGTGTTCCAAACATAGTACCCAGAGAGAACGGCCAGTAGGCCCTCAGCTGATGGTTGGTTCCGTTTCCTGAGTGGTAGGAGGGGAGCAGTGGAAGTTTCATCTTTGTCAAAGAGGAACCTGTTTGTAACATGCGAAAAACTGCACTAGAGGCTGCCAATGTGCCCTTCGGAGTCTGAAGCCTGGCGCAGTGCAAGCAAGCTGTGGCCTGGGCCAGGGCTGAGCTGTTGGTCAGGAGAGATTCAGGCCAGTCTTTGGGGTTTGGGGTGGAAGGGTGACATTACCAAGATTGGAAGGAAGGGCACAATTTCCCTGCGGTGTCCCTGGCCCAACTGCAGGAGGGCTGACATTTGCCAGTAAGCACAGCTGGCCCCTGGGTGCCCAGCATGGCCCAGGTCTGTGTGGTCCTGTCTGGAGTCCCCAGACTTGCTGTGTCCCTACCCAGGCCCTGGTGGGCTCATGGCCTTACCAGTCCAGTTCTGATGCTGTATGTCCCTGTGAAGCCTGTTCCAGTGTTCATATCACCAGGGCTGGGCTCAAGCCTCTGCCCTTGCCTCTCCCTCCAGGGACCTTGGGTCTCCCATGGTGACAGTACCTGCACCCTGCGGGCAGCCTGCGCCGGCTGTGAACCACACTGCCAGCTGCTTCTTCTTGTAATGTTCCCCCTCTGTCCACAGTACTCCTCTGAACACTTCCATGAAGCAGGTTCTAGGATCATCTCCATTTTATAGAAGGGGAGATGGAGGATCAGAGACATACAGTCACTTCACCAAGGACACACAGTGGGAAGTTCAGTGGCTTCCAATCCCATGCTCTTTCCTCTACACCATGTTGCCTCACTTGAGGTTTTACGGGGGGTGGCAAACACGGCTCCTTTCCCCTTGACCCTCTCACTCCCGAGGCACATACTTACCTCGTCCTTGTGGGGGGCTTCCAGCCCACCCCCACCCACATGTTAAAGCCTAGGTTCCCTGCTGTGCTGACTCCGCTCAGCTCAGCCTGATGGGCCTGTGGTCATTTGAATCCCCAGTGCTGCCACCCACCAGTCACTCTGTCCTGTCACCAGGTGGTGACTGGCCCAGTGGCCCCCAGGACCACCTACCAGAAGAGAGTTATGCCAGGTGCTCACCTGCTCACTGCAGAGGGTTCTAAATCCACAGCTCAGGTAACAGGGAAACAAGTAACTGACTGGAGTTACCACCCTCAGGTTGCTAAGGCCAAGTGCCTGCCAAATCCAGAGGCGAGGCTAGGGTGGACTCTGCCCACCGTCAGCAAAACCACATTCACCAAGAGGCTTAGAGGACAGTGCTCTGCTTAACTGGATTTGCTGGGCATTTGAAGGCTAACTTGCAGAGTCTTTCTATCATGCCAAAATTTAATAGCAAAAAATCAGAAAGACCTAAACGTTCAGCAGTAGGGGACTTGTATAATGGTTTCATGGGTTATTCATATACTGGGCTACTATGATGTCATTCCAAATGTTATAGAACATTCAATGACTGGAGAAATGGTTATGAGATATACATACATACATATATATATACATACATACATACACACATATATACACACATACATATATATATACATACATACACACATATATACATACACACACACACATATATACATACATGCATACATACACACATATATACATACATACACACATATATACATGCATACATATATATATACATACACACATATATACATACACACATACATACATACATACACACATATATACATACATACATATACATACATACATACACACATATATACATACATACACATATACATACATACATATATATACATACATACATACACACATATATACATACATACATATATATATATTTTTAAGACGGAGTCCCACTCTGTCACCCAGGCTGGAGTGCGCTAGCATGAGCTCAGCTCAATGCAACCTCCAACTCCCGGGTTTAAGCAATTTTTTTGCCTCAGCCTCGCGAGTAGCTGGGATTACAGGTGACCACCACAACACCCGGCTAATTTTTTTGTACTTTTAGTAGAGACGGGGCTTCTCCATGTTAGCCTGGCTTGGCTGGTCTTAAACTCCTGACCTCAAGTGATCTGTCAGCCTCAGCTTCCCCAAAGTGCTGAGATTACAGGCATGAGCCACTGTGCCCAGCCTGGTTATATTAAGTGAAAGGTTCAGAAGAGTAATATAGAATAAGACCATATTGTGAAAAACAAACAAACAGTGGCTGGACGCGGTGGCTCATGCCTGTAATCCCAGCACTTTGGGAGGCTGAGGCAGGTGGATCACAAGGTCAGGAGATTGAGACCATCCTGGCCAACATGGTGAAACCCCATCTCTATTAAAAATACAAAAAAAAAAAAAATAGCTGGGCATGGTGGCCCACGCCTGTAGTCCCAACTACTGGGGAGGCTGAGGCAGGAGAATTGCTTGAACCAAGGAGGCAGAGATTGCAGTGAGCCAAGATCACACCACTGCACTACAGCTTGGGCAACAGTGTGAGACTCTGTCTCAAAAAACAAACAAAAAGAGCAATAATGATTTTCTTTTTTCTTTTCTTTTTTTTTTTTTTTTTTTGAGACGGAGCTTTCCTCTTGTCACATCCAGGCTGGAGTACAATGGTGCTATCTCAGCTCACTGCAACCTCCCCCTCCTGGGTTCAAGCGATTTTCCTGCCTTAGCCTCCAAATAGCTAGGATTACAGGCCCCACCACCATGCCCAGCTAGTTTTTGTATTTTTAGTAGAGATGGGGTTCCACCATGTTGGCCAGACTGGTTTCAAACTCCTGACCTCAGGTGATCCACTGGCCTTGTCCTCCCAAAGTGCTGGGATTATAGGTGTGAGCCACCACACCTGGCCTTTTTTTTTTTTTAAAGATGTAGTCTCGCTTGGCCATCCAGATTGGAGTGCAGTGGTGCAATCTCGGCTCACTGCAACCTCTGTCTCCCGGGTTCAAGCGATTCTCCTCCCTCACCCTCCCAAGTAGCTGGGATTCCAGGTGTGTGCCACCATGCCTGGCTAATTTTTGTATTTTTAGTAGAGGCAGGGTTTTGCCATGTTGGCCAGGCTGGTCTCGAATTCCTGACCTCAGGTGATCTGCCTGCCTCGGCCTCCCAAAGTGCTACAATTACAGCTGTGAGCCATCGTGCCTGGCCCTAAGTATAGGCCTTTTTTTTTTTTTTTTTTTTTTGAGACAGGGTTTCACTGTTGCCCAGGCTGGAGTCCAGTGGCATGATTACAGCTCACTGTAGCCTCCACCTCCCAGGTTCAAGTACTCCTCCCACCTCAGCCTTTCAAAGAGCTGGAACTACAGGCGGGTATCACCCGCCTGTCACGTTCAGCTAACTTTTGGATTTTTTTTGGTACCGTTGGGGTTTCTCCATGTTGGGCAGGCTGATCTTGAACTCCTGGGCTCAAGCAATCCACCCACCCCAGCCTCCCAAAGTGCTGGGATCACAGATGTGAGCCACTATGCTCAGCCAGATTTTGTTTTTCTCTGAAAAAAATGGTAGATTTACATGGTTCAAAATTCAAATAGGTCCAGGGGTGAGCCCTGGAGTTTGAGACCAGCCTAGACAAAAAAGAGAGACCCCTGTCTCTATTTTAAAAAAAATTCAGCCAGAAGCAGTGGCTCACTCTGGTAATCTCAGCACTTTGGGAGCCTGAGGCAGGCTGATCACAAGGTCAGGAGATTGAGACCATCCTGGCCATGGTGAAACCCCATCTCTACTAAAATACAAAAAAATTAGCTGGGCTTGGTGGTGGGTGCCTGTAATCCCAGCTACTCAGGAGGCTGAGGGAGGGGAATCACTTGAACCTGGAAGATGAAGGTTGCAGTGAGCTGCACCAGCCTGGTGACAGAGCAAAACTCCGTCTCAAAATAATAATAATAATAATAATAAATAAAAACAAAAATGAGCCGGGCTTGGTGGCTCATGCCTGTAATCCCAGCACTTTGGGAGGCTGAGGCGGGTGTATCACCTGAGGTCAGGAGTTTGAGACCAGCCTGGCCAATGTGGTGAAACCCCGTCTTTAAAAAAAAAAAATTCAAGCCGGGGCCATGGCTCACACCTGTAATCCCAGTACTTTGGCAGGCCGACGCAGGCAGATCACCTGAGGTCAGGAGTGCGAGACCAGCCTGACCAACGTGGAGAAACCCTGTCTCTACTGAAAATACAAAATTAGCCAGGTGTGGTGGTGCATGCCTGTAATCCCAGCTACTTGGGAGGCTGAGGCAGGAGAATTGCTTGAACCCAGGAGGTGGAGGTTGCAGTGAGCTGAGAACACATCATTGCACTCCAGCCTGGGCAACAAGAGTGAAACTCTATCTCTAAATAAATAAATAAAAACTTACAGGCTTTGTATGGTTGGCTAAAAAAAAAATCTATTGGCCAGGCACAGTGGCTCATCTCTGTAATCCCAGCACTTTGGGAGGCTGAGGCAGACGGATCACAAGGTCAGGAGTTCAAGACCAGCCTGACCAACATGGTGAAACCATGTCTCTACTAAAAATACAAAAATTAGCTGGATGTGGTGGTGCATGCCTGTAATCCCAGCTACTCAAGAGGCTAAGGCAGAAGAATCACTTGAACCCAAGCAGTGGAGGTTGCAGTGAGCCGAGATGGTGCCACTGCACTCCAGCCTGGGTGACAGATTCTGTCATCTGTCTACATTCAAGCTGCAGTGAGGAAAAATTGATCTTTTCCCCACTCATTCAGTCCACAGAGCATGGTATCTTTCTCACTCCCAGCTCATAGAAATCAACAACTATTAAGCACCTACTGTGTGTCCATGATGTATTTCAGTAGCTTTCAATCACCAATGGAATCACCTTTGGCCTGTCATTCCTACATGTGATGGCTTTTGTAATCCATGTGGAGGGAATGGGACCTTTCATGTCTTAAGTAGGTCTTATGTGCCAGGTGTTGCAGGGAGCACAGCTCCAAAGAAGTAAACACCCTGACTAAAAGCATGGATGCTGGAGCCAGACTGCCTGGGTTCCAATCCCAGCTCTGCCACTTACCAACCATGTGACTTTGAACAAATTACATAATTTCTCTGCATTTCTCATTTTTAAAACAGGAATGAATGGCTGGGCGCAGTGGCTCACACCTGTAATCCCAGCACTTGGGAGGCCGAAGCGGGTGGATCACAAGGTCAAGAGATCGAGACCATCCTGGTCAACAAGGTGAAACCCGTCTCTACTAAAAATACAAAAAATTAGCTGGGCATGGTGGCACGTGCCTGTAATCCCAGCTACTCAGGAGGCTGAGGCAGGAGAATTGCCTGAACCTAGGAGGCGGAGGTTGTGGTGAGCCGAGATCGTGCCATTGCACTCCAGCCTGGGTAACAAGAGCAAAACTCCGTCTCAAAAAAAAAAAAAAAAAAAAGTAAAACAGGAATGAGTACTGCTATAAACATTTGTGTACACCCCCCACCTCCAAATTCATATTGAAACCTAATCCCCAGTGTGATGGTATTTGGAGGTGAGGTCTTTAGGAGGTGATTATGTCATAAGGGTAGAGTTCTCACAAACAGTAATGCCTTTATAAAGAAGCCCGTTGGGAACAGTGGCTCACACTTGTAATCCCAGCAATCTGGGAGGCCAAGGCGGGCAAATTACGAAGTCAGGAGTTGGAGACCAGCCTGGTCAAGATAGCGAAACCCCGTCTCTACTAAAAATACAAAAATTAGCCGGGCATGAGGGTGCATGCCTGTAATCCCAGCTACCTGGGAGGCTGAGGCAGGAGAACTGCTTGAACCCAAGAGGTGGAGGTTGCAGTGAGCCAAGATCACACCACTGCACTCCAGCCTGGGCAACAAGAGTGAAACTGTGTCCAAAAAAAAAAAAAAAAAGCAGCCCATATGGTGGCTCAAGCCTTTAATCCCAGCACTTTGGGCAGCCAAGGTAGAAGGATCACTTGAGGCAGGGAGCTTGACACCAGCCTGGTCAACATAGCAAGACTTCGTCTCTTAAAAAAAAATCAGGCAGGGCACGGTGGCTCAAGCCTGTAATCCCAGCACTTTGGGAGGCCGAGGCGGGTGGATCACAAGGTCAACAGATCGAGACCATCCTGGTCAACATGGTGAAACCCCGTCTCTATTAAAAATACAAAAAATTAGCTGGGCATGGTGGCGCGTGCCTGTAGTCCCAGCTACTCAGGAGGCTGAGGCAGGAGAATTGCCTGAACCCAGGAGGCGGAGGTTGCGGTGAGCTGAGATCGCGCCATTGTACTCCAGCCTGGGTAACAAGAGCGAAACTCCGTCTCAAAAAAAAAAAAAATCCTCAGAATACTCTAGTGCCCCTTCCACCATGTGAGGTTACAGCAAAAAGAGGGACACCGAATCTGCTGGTGCCTTGATCTTGGACTTCCCAGCCTCCAGAACTCTGAGCAAAAAAAAAAATCTTTTGTGTATAAACCACCCAGACTTTATTATTGTCATAGTCCCAAATGGACTAAAACGAGTACTGGCCAGGTGTGGTGGCTCACAGCAGTAATCCCAGCACTTAGGGAGGCCAACACAGGCAGATCACTTGAGGTCAGAAATTTGAGATCAGCCTGGCCAACATGATGAAACCCCAACTCTACTAAAAATACAAAAAAATTAGCCGGAGGTAATCCCAGCTACTCAGAGGCTGAGGCAGGAGAACTGCTTGAAGGCAGGAGGTGGAAGTTGCAGTGAGCTGAGATTATTCCACTTCATTGTAGCCTGGGCGACAGAGCACGACTCTGTCTCAAAAGGACAAGTCCTTACCTCATAGGGTTGTTGTGATGATGCAATGAGTTTTATGAAATAAGTGCACAGAATAGTGCCTAGCAGAGTATAAGCATTACTTTAGCAATAAACAATAAGCATTACTTAAAGGGGACAGCAAGGCCCAAAGCAGCATGTTAAGGGACCTCCCAAGGCCCTATAGCTATGCAGTCTATCCAGATTCTCTCTTTTCTACACTGATTCCCACCTCAAACACCCTTTGCTCACCTTTGTATTGGTTATCTATTGCTACATAACCTTACTGCAAACTTAGCAACTTAACACAATGCATTTACGAACTGTTCCTATGGGTCAGGAGTCGGGGCACAGCTTAACTGGGCCTCTGCAAGGCTGCAGTCAGTGTTGGTCGGGACTGGGGTCTCATCTGAAGGCTTACCTGGGTGTGATCAGTCTCCAAGCTTGTGTGGTTGTCGGCAGCATTTGCTTTCTTGCAGACTGCTGGACTGAGCTTCAGTTTCTTGTTGGCTGTGAGCCAGAGGCTACCCTCAGTCCCTGGCCACCTGACCCTCTCCCAAGGGCAGCTCACACAACATGACAGCTTCCTTCTTCAAAGCCAGCAAGAGAATTTCTCAGCAAGACAGATGTTACGGTCTTACATAAGGCAGCCATGAAAATAATATCTTGTCACCTTTGTGGCACTCTATTGGTTAGCAGTCATAGGTCTAGCCCATCACAAGGCTGTGAATGGCAGGTTAGGATCATGGTGACCACCTGGGAGTCTATCAGCCACACCTCCCAGTGCATCCAAATCCTCCCATTCCGCAGAGGGAAACTGAGGTCTAGCATACCCCCCAAAAAAGCACCCATTTTCTGCCATCCACCTACCAATTCGTAAACTCCACTCAGGTGTAATTGAAGAGATACCTGGTTTGGGGTTGAGTTTTCCTGGAGATTCTGGTCCTGTTAAGAGTTTTATTCAGCTGGGATTCCAGTTGGTGATGGACAGCACCGAGCTGTCCCTTGCTCCTGCCACAGACCCCTCAAGGTGTTTTTCAGGCTAGATTCCTGAGGGCTGTGTCATCACCTGTGCCACCTCCTCCTCCCTACCATGACAAACTGTTCAGGGTAGTTACCTGACTCCAGAGAAAGGTAGTAAGGCCAAACAATACAATGAGCATCTGCTAGTGCCTCATCTGAGTGATGCTCAGGAGAAAGAACAGCCTGTGGCCACACATCTAACCAGGGGATAGCCTAGATTCTAGGGCCCGGTCTGCCTCGACAATCCAAGTGCTGATCTTCAACAGTACATAATTCTTTTTTTTTTTTTTTCCTTTTTCAGAGAGTCTTGCTCTGTCGCCCAGACTGGAGTGCAATGGCACAATCTCAGCTCACTGCAACCTCTGCTTCCTGGGTTCAAGCAATTCTCATGCCTCAGCTTCCCAAGTAGCTGGCATGCACCACCATGCCTGGCTTTTTGTATTTTCAGTAGACAGAGTTTCGCCACGTTCACCAGGCTGGTCTCGAACTCCTGACCTCATGTGAGCTGCCCACCTCAGCCTCCCAAAGTGCTGGGATTGCAGGCGTGAGCCACCACACCCAGCCATGGTACATACTTCTATACTTCTAATGAAGTTTCCTCTACATCTAAGCTTTCTGATTTCCACCCACCAAGTACTTAAAAGTAACTCATCCAGAGGGCAGTAATGCTATGTGAAATCAACACAAAAGTTACTACTCCCGAGGATCCTTTGATGCAATCTCCTGATCCTTATTCAATGGACAAGAGGATCTTCAACTTCATTTCTTTTCTCCTCTCTACACTGTTTCTTAGTCAGAGTAGCTATTTCCATAACAATAAAAACTGCATCTTTCCTACAGAATCCTCCGGCAAAACGTGTTGTGGTTCTTTAAAAATTTTTAATTTTTTTTTTTTTGAGATGAAGTTTCGCTCTTGTCACCCAGGCTAGAGTGCAATGGTGTGATCTCGGCTCACTGCAACCTCCGCCTCCTGGATTCAGGCAATTCTCCTGCCTCAGCCTCCCAAGTAGCTGGGATTACAGGCACCCGCCACCATGCCCAGCTAATTTTTTGTATTTTTAGTAGAGACGGGGTTTCACCATGTTGACCAGGACGGTCTCAATCTCTTGACCTTGTGATCCACCCGCTTTGGCCTCCCAAAGTGCTGGGATTACAGGCGTGAGCCACTGCGCCCTGGCCCAAAAATTTTTAAGTCTTTTAGAGAATTCTTTAGGGTCTCACTGTGCTCTGGGTATCTGCACCCCTTTACTACTTAGGGAGATGCTTCTGCGGGTAGGTTTGGTGGAGGGCAGAAAGCAAGGAGGGGCCAGACTCTCTAGCACAGCAGCCTGTATCACGAGACTCCACAAGAGGAGATTAAGCCCCACACAGTGATTCAAGCAAATACTTTCCTATCACCCAAATGATGATGAAAAGAGCCAACTATCCTAGAGAACACAGGAGAGGTTACCGACTGCCTTAGACGACAGGGTTAGATTTCCTCACTTTGGCCAGCTTGATACCCTGGCCCTGAACTTTCAATATGGACACTTGGTGAATGGTGAGAGATGTGACCACGAGTCTAGCTGTGGCACCCTGGAGAGTTTAGCAGCCAGGCTACCAGAAACAGGTTCATCTTTCACATACAATGACAGAAGTAAATATATTTATTTTATCGTAAAAATCTGGTCCCACAAAAAGGCCAACACTTTTTTCAGTTCATGGTCTTGACACTTGAAAAAAGAAATCTTTCAACTGAGAGGTAAGTTGATAAAAGGAATTTCAGAGGTGCGTTCAGCTTTTTTACAAGCCAGTAATCCAAGCAACCCTGGACTTCTAGTTTACTGAGCTCCTTCTACTAGTCATTCACAGTTCCTGAAGGAGAAAAGAAAGAAGTTGTTTGCAGATAAGGCACTTTAGAAACCACCAGAGAGAAACCCAAGTCTGCCAGGAGCTGCGTTGTGAATCAGTGAGCCCAGAGGGCCACGAGCTGACAGGAGTGCTGGCTCCCACCGCTCCATGCTGACAGCTTCCACCTTCCTGCCCCAACACCATTCCAGCCGGCTTCTAGCACCCGCCTCGGCTCTGTGTTGCCTAACTGGCCTAGAATACATGGAAGCCAGACAACTGGCCAGAGATGAACACTGCTGCCTGAAGCTCAGGGCAGCCGCTGACAGTGAGGAATGCCTTCAGAGACACTGCTGGAGCACCCTGAGGGAGCAGTTCTTTTCGCAAGGATGAGTTAGTGAGGATCAGCACATCAGCAAAGCAAAACATTTAAACATTTTTAAAAGCTGCTTAATCCTTCCAATTTCCCTCCTGGTTCTAAGCTCAAGCTATAGCTTCTAAACCTGCTAAAAATCACGAAGGAACCCCTCCTCTGGAGGGCACATGGACTGAAGTGGCTACAGCCAGTGTGGGTAAAGAAAGCCCCCCCCACCGAACAGTGATCACATGACACCTGCAGACCCTAGGAAGGGCTGATCTGAATCCAGGCAGCAAACTCAACCCATTCTTTTGTTTTAGGGGCTTGTGTTTAATATGCATCATTGCGATAGAAGAAGTCTCAGAGTCTCTCTCATGTCAAGAGGACAGACAGGGACAGGGATCCTGGAGCTTTTCTTCTCCTGTGTACTGGCTGCATACTTGAATCCCAGGAAACAGTGTGACACGATGCCAATTTACTGCCAAACATGCCCAGTTTGTCATCAGAGCCAGGCAAGGAGAGAGGAGAGATTCATGCTCCAAACACAGGCCAGCTGAGGAATGCTTCGCCCTCCTTCCTTTGGCCCAGATGAGGGAGCTCCTTCCCAGAAGTCACATGAGGAAAAATTGTGCTCAGGTCAGAACTGAACCCAGCCTGGTTGGGTCTGGCTGGAAGTTGATCTGTAAAGAGAAGACAGGGAAGGGTGGACGAGTTCAGATCTTTGAAAATACAAAGCAGATAAAAGTTGTTTCTCTCTGGACAGAAAAAGCTCTAAGAAGCCAGTTCCTAAGAGCAGCAGTCAGCAAACTTTGACTCAGAGACCAAATCTCGTCCCCAGTGGTTTTTTTTTTTTTTTAATAGTTAATATAACTTTATTTATCAAAATTTTTGTTGTTGAGATGGACTCTGGCTCTGTCACCCAGGCTGAAGTGCAGTGGCACAGTCTCAGCTCACTGTAACCTCCACCTCCTGGGTTCAAACAATTCTCCTGCCTCAGCCTCCCAAGTGGCTGGGACTACAGGTGCCCACCACCACACCCGAATAATTTTTGTATTTTTAGTAGAGATGGGGTTTCACCATATTGGCCAGGCTGGTCTCAAACTCCTGACCTCAGGCGATCTGCCTGCCTCAGCCTGTCAGCGCTGGGATCACAGGCATAAGCCACAGTGCCCAGGCTTTTTTTTTTTTTTTTTGAGAGAGGGTCTCATTCTGTTGCCCAGGCTGGAGTGCAGTGGCACACTGAAGGCTCATTGCAGCCTCAACCTCTTGAGCTCAAGCGATCCTCCTACCTCAGCCTCCCTAGTAGCTGGAAATACGTGACTGGTTAATTTTTGTATTTCTTTTAGTAGAGATGGGGTTTTGCCATGTTGCCCAGGCTGGTCTTGAACTCCTGGGCTCAAGTGATCCGCCTGCTTTGGCCTCCCAAACTGCTGGGATTACAGGCGTGAGCCAACACGCCTGGCTAAAGGGCCCTTCCCATCTAGGAAAAAGTGCAACTCACCACCAGCCCTCATTTAATTTTACATAAACACACTCTTTGAGGATAAAGCAAATCTGATTTTGAATGTGAAAATAAAATTGAAAACTATTACTGGAGTTATTTTAGAATCATGTGAATCAGCACTGTCTATTTTGGAAAAACTAGCCTCCTCAAATGAATCTTAGGCTAAAAACTCTTCAAAAACGATGTTAACATCCCATGTAAAAATGCTATGTTTTCTAGGATTTGACATTTTCAGCAATCAAGAATTACTATATTTTGGGCCTGGCGTGGTAGGTAGTTCACACCTGTAATCTCAGCACTCTGGGAGGCCCAGGCAGGTGGACTGCTTGAGTTACAGGAGTTCAAGACCAGCCTGGGCAATGTAGCAAAACTCCACCTCTACTAACAATACAAACAATTAGCCAGGGGTGGTGGTGCTTGCCTGTAGTCCCAGCTACTCAGGAGGCTGAGGTGGGATAATCACCTGAGCCTGGAAGGGCAAGGATGCAGTGAGCCAAGATCACACCACTGCACTCCAGCCTAGGCAACCAGAGTGAGACCTTGTCTCAAAAAAAGAGAGAATTACTATATTTTGTAAACAAAAATGCTACTACTAAGAACAGAATGCTATAAATAGAATGAGGTCTTTATGTTTCGAAAGCTGATATACGAGAGCAATGCGAAAAGAATAATAAAAGCAGTGGCAAAGTCATCTCAGGGTAAATGCTATAGCCTCAAGTGCCACTGGTGAGTTTTCTCAGGGCAAACAGGAAAAGGGTTAAAGTAGTTGTTTCATTGCTCTGGTTTTTCTGTTTGTTTTGAGATGGAGTCTCACTCTTGCCACCCAGGCTGGACTACAGTGGCATGATCTCGGCTCACTGCAATCTCCACCTCTTGGGTTCAAGCCATTCTCCTGCCTCAGCTTCCCAGGCAGCTGGGAATACAGGTGCTGTGCCATCAAGCCCAGTTAATTTTTGTATTTTTGTTTTTTTTTTTTTCCTTGAGACAGAGTCTTGTTCTGTCACTCAGGCTGGAGTGCAGTGGTGCGATCTCGGCTCACTGCAACCTCCACCTCCTGAGTTCAAGTGATCCTCCTGCCTCAGCCTCCTGAGAAGCTAGGATTACAGGCACCTGCCACTGCATTCGGCTAATTTTTGTATTTTTAGTAGAGGCAAGGTTTCACTATGTTAGCCAGGCTGGTCTCAAATTCCTGACCTCTTGATCCACTGGCCTCAGCCTCCCAAAGTGCTGGGATTACAGGCATGAGCCACCACACCTGTAGGGTTTCACCATGTTGTCCAGGCTGTTCTCGAACTCCTGACCTCAGGTGATCTCTGCCTGGCCTCCCAAAGTGCTGAGATTAAAGGCATAAGCCATCACGCCCGGCCCATGCCTGTTTTTTTAAATAAAGTTTTATTGGCATGCAGCCATGCCAATTCATTTGCATTTGTCTGTGGCTGCTTTCGTGCAACAAGAGCCGAACCAAGTAGCCAGAACAGAGACCACATTGCCTGAATAGTCTAAACGTCTTGCTATCTAGTTCTTTACAGAAAATGTGGCTGGGCACAGTGGCTCATGCCTATAATCCCAGCACTCTGGGAGGTTTAGGTGGGCAGATCACTTGAGCCCAGGAGTTCAAGACCAGCCGGCACAACATGGCAACCTCATATCTACAAAAAAATAGCTGGCATGGGGGTGTGCACCTGTAGACCCAGCTACATGGGAGACTGAGGTTGCAGTAAGCCGTGATCGTGCCACTGCACTCCAGCCTGAGTGACAGAGACCCTGTCTCAAAAAAAGAAAAAGAAAATGTATGCTGTCCCATGTCCTAGAATCTGTCCACATAAATAATATAAATAATAGTGCAGAAGGAATTTGGTATCTTTCACCCCTGCCCCAAGTGCAGTCTTGAAATTTTATGGAGTCAGAGAAAACAAGCCACCTTGCCTCACAGGTCCGATGAGGATGGGCCAAGGCTGGAACCGGGTTCTGAACTCTAGGTCCAGTATTTTGTGGAAGCTGGGGGTGGAGGATGGGGGAGAGAAGAAGGAGGTGCTGGGGACAAGCCAAAGCACTTGGGGAGGCGATTGAAAGGTCCAGATTTGCAAAAGGTTGGCCCCAGGGTACAAAGCAGCAGAGAGCAGTAAAACCTCCATGGAAAGAAGTGTGCCACCC